CTATTAGATATGCAAACTTTTCAAATCTTTCTATTGTGTTATGTAGCCTCAGTATTAGGCCTTTAATGCCCATTGACAAAATTTTTCTATGTAAAATAGTTTTTGAGTTGTGGGGGTTTTTGTTAAAAAAACGAAAAGTGGTCTAAGTTACCCCGCCGGTCTAAGTTACCCCATTTTACGGTATATTATTTATTATTAAAATGTATCAAGATCTAGTTTGCATTCATATATATTATCTTTAGTAATATATAAAATTCTTATCAGTCAACATTCATCAACAATGCTCCAGGCTACACCAGCAGGCTGCAGCTATTTTCCTGCAACCCCTTTCAATATAAATGTTGCCTCAGTGAATGAGACTATGATCATTGTCCTAAAACGATATTGCTACTAATATGTGACTATACGGTAGTAGTAAATTTGTTACCCATTTCAGAAAGCTTGGAGGCCTTACTCACCTGAAGTGTCTCAGTTGTTAGAACGAGGCTTTCACAAGCATCTTAGCTCTCTCCTGCTTGGTGATGCTGACCCACGCCTCGCTCCATACACAGTCAATCTCTCCCTATTGAAGCAAATTCACTCTGAAACTGGTCAGTTTAGTATTAAAGTTTTAAAATTAATTATAATGACAGACAGTATCTATTGAAGTTATTGCTGTATTTATTTGAGATTCCTGAAGGTAACAGATTTATAGAATTTTATCAGTGATTTTTTTAGGCTTTGAAAAATATCTTGCATTATACAGGGTGCGGCGCGGGAACTTACTTATTTGAATTGCGCGCCACGTGGCGGCCATTAGTCCTAGGAAGGTGGCACATGGAGGTCACCTACAAGATGTAATATTCAAGAATTAAACTTGTAAGTAAACCCAACGAAACTTTAAATGTAGCTCTTTGTAAAAAAGAAAGAATTAAAACGCTATCTTTAATACTTTTTACTTTGTGATTTTTTTAAAAGAGTAAGTTCCCACGCCGCACCCTGTACTATGTTTATTCTATGTTTATCATTCAAACACAATTATTTGTAAGCATTTCAATTAGGTACAAATTCTCAGATGATTCTTAAATCTACTTGAATGCTTTTACATCACACTGAAAGACTTGATCTTTTTTTCAAGACAAATGAGGCAGAAGTCTGATGCTGTAATTCTTTCTTATATTTCTCTGGTCCCTTCTTATTATTTGTTCAATTTTCCTGGTTTTTTTCAGATTGTTTCTTTAGTTCACTTCTATATAATCATTTATGCTTCCTCACATGCATTTTTATTTATGTCATCAGTCACCTCCACTTATTTTTCAGGTGAGACTAAAGATGTGCGACGGACATTCTTACATCACCGGTCACCTCCTGGTAGTGGTGTTGTGTGGCAGTGGTGTGGAGGTGGTAGCAACAGTACCGATGCTGGTTGTGATGATGGAGATGCTGCTGAGCGATGGCATGACTATGCCATGCCTGTGCAATGTGTTATAGAAGATGCCTGGGCGCAGGTATGAACTGGTCGAGTTTCTTGAGGCAAAATTTGAGCTGAATAAATTAACATTGGCATTGTTGGTGTTTATCACTTAAATGATAGTGTTCTCATATTTGTTGCCATGATTTCTTTTAATAAGGGTTCTGGGCAGATTAAAGCATGTATTTCAGTATCTAGTTTCAGGCAGCTGGATCAGCCTGGATGCATTTTTGCTGTCAAAATAATTGACTCATATTGTTGTTTCCATTGTCTTGACTGATTATTCCTACTTCTTAGGGAGCTCAAGTTGTGGACATCTCTGTGCTCTTTGGGGAGTACAACTACGTCATTGATTTTGGAAATCTCACTCAGGTATGTTATACTTTTATCAAATTACACATTATTTTAATACACCTCATCTCTGTTTTTGGTGCTAGCATATGAAGGATATAAAATTCTCAAATAAGTAATTTAAATACTAAAATATTAGTTTCGTTTTACTTTATTTTCACCATAGAGTTCAGTTTAGGTATGTAACTGATGTTTGTTTACTTTGTTTTTGGTTGGAGATGTTATGCAAAGTTGAATCTGTTTTGTATAGGAAATATTACTTTTTACTGTCATTTTTTTGTCTTGTTTTAAATAATTCCTGACATGTAAAAAGTATGTTATGCCATAAATTAATTTGTTTCCTCAGGTAAATTTGGGAAGCGAGACGCGAAGAGCTGTGAGACGCCAGAAGCAGGCATCTTATCCAGTAGCTCGGCCTCCCCATGGCTATACATATCCTGGATATAATATTCCTGGTCAGTGGTTGGCCTGTCTGCTTTCTTTAGATGTCTTATCATATCAGTGACTTGACTTCCAGGTGTAGCGTCTGATTAGAAGGACATTCATTTTTACGTTTCTTGTGTGATATTGACTCAAATTCTCTACATGCTTGGCTAAAACTTTAGCTTTAGAATTCCCATTTGCTTCACATAGCTCCTGGAGATTGCGATAGATTGAATTATCAGTTCTCACCCGAAAATAAATCATTTTCTTGAAATATAATTACGTCATATTTGATAATTTGTCACTATTGTCTATACAGGATTTCCAACGTATGACAGCACAATTGGGCGCCGTGAACAGCGACTCAGACAACAGAAAGAATTCCCTCGTGCCTTTACTAGCGCCACGACCGCCCACGTCAACAGCACCACTCCTGCTGCTCCTGTTGGTGCAGGCACTAGTGCTGCTATCACTTCGAGCGCAGGGATGCAGTGCTGGCAGCCTTCACAGGATGACGATGTTGTTGGCTCCTCCAGCTCTCGCGATGAGACTTCGTTCAGTGACAGTGCAGACAGCGGCTCGTATGTGCCTCCAAGATTACAAGGCTTGACTAAGCCTCACGTCACTGACACTATCAAGAGTAAACATTTGTCCACTCAACCTGACTGTATGGCTAAAAATGATAAAACAAATTACAAACTTACAAGAAACTCAAATAAGAATGAAAAATCGCATTCAGAGAAAGACAAGATAAGTTCAAAGAAGACACCAGAAGCATCGAAGTCTTCAGGATCTTCTTCCAACATTCTAAATAAGGTGATGCAAATATTTTTTCAACCGTATGTTTGTTTTAAATTTTTACGATAATCAGTTTTGCTTGATTTTTTATTAGCTAATCAATTTCCTGGCAAAAAGTGTATTTCTGAGCGCTGTTTTAACCATTTCAATAGTCTTTCACTTTAATACAAATTTTGGAATTTAATTATTTCATTCTAATTTAATTAATAATTATAAATGATCTTAAAATGGTCAATGATTGTGAAAGTCATTTATCTTAAACATTGAAATCAGTACTTGAATAGCCGAATAACTTTATTTGCTTGTTTTTTTACTCAAAATGTTCATATTTCACGCCGCGATGATGACGAGTGAAGTCATGTGCAGATGCTGAACTTCGGTCTCCATCAGTATCATAGCCATCATCAACCACATACTTTGCCTGTCGATCCTCGACCTTCGCCTGCCATCACAGAAAAAAGTCCTCGTGAATCCCCACCCGCCTTGCCACTACGCACTCACCCTCCTCTTCAATGCTCCACTCCCCTCCCAATGCATACCATGCAAACTCTGGCTGGTCTCGGTCGTGCGAACGATACAACTTCTCGCGCGTGCATCAACACTAGCGAACTCTCACGAAGTGTTTCTTCCAATAACCCATCGTTGGCTAGTGACCACAGCAAGCCATCTGGGAGCAAAAACGCTCACTTCTTTTCTCGCAAACATAGCAAAAAATCAACTGCAGTTGAAGTTGATTCCTCTGTCCGTGACAACGTCATTAACGAACGTCGCGCCGACTGTGGTGCACAGACGGACTTGGATACGTCGACCGACCCTCTTCTCTTGTGTAAACATTCCTCCGATGTTGGTCTTGGGCATCAAGTTAGAGCTGAGTGGTCGGGTTTAAGGAAAGATAGTGACTGCATAAGGATGCAAGATAGTCGCCACCGCCCGGATCCTGTGCCCCGATCATTGATCCCTCCGACCCCTTTCCCTCGTACGCTTTTTCCTTCGTCACACTCACCTCCATATACCAGAGTTCCAGGGTATGTTTTCCTGTTATCAAATTTGTTCAAGTGCTTAGGTTTTGTAGTCTTTTTTAATGAGCATTTTATATGAATGATCTACGCATGATCTCTCAACAGTCAATTGTTAAATAACTGGTGACCAGTTAAATGTTTCTAGGGATTGTACAGGGTGTTTCAGAATTAAGTAACCCTTTTAATTTGTTAATAAATAAAAAACTAAGAACGTTATGAAGTTGAAACTTGTTTTATTTAAAAGAAGAACATTTTTATGGTAATAACTTCATAACGTTCTTAGTTTTTTATTTATTAACAAATTAAAAGGGTTACTTAATTCTGAAACACCCTGTACATTCTTAAATGTTAAGTTATTGTAAGTAATGTTTGAAATCATCAACCTCTTACTGCTAATTTTTTTGCTTATTTGTGTACTTCGGACTGAAGAAGACTAAAAATAGTCTATTTGATTTCCGTTGTAACGTTACTTTCAACTGCCTTACGGAAAGTGAGTATTGGAAGTTACTTGTTCTCTCAACAACTAAAAATATACTTGAAATTACTTTCGTCACGGTATTTACGAGTATATTAGCTACCTACACCGTAAATGTAAATGATAACATTGATGAACTGCAATGTTTGAATTTACATCGTTTGTTTTTAATATTATCGTTTAATAATAATATTATCGTTTAATTTAATATCGTTTGTATTTCAATATTTAGTAGGAAAAATTATTTCCTAGTAAATATTTACCAGGAAATATTATTTCCTAGTAAATATTAAAATCGAATGATCAAATATGTCTGTATGACTCAGACCAGAGCCATCACCTTGTGCCACCTCGTGTTCGATGGACAGCGTCAGCCTTGCAAGTGGTCGTAGGGCTTCCCTTGAGACTATCAGCACCTACCTCAGCACTGACGACCGCCAGCCGTACCTGACTCACAACGCCAGGTAATGTCACGTAAATCATTCAAATTTCAAGGATTTCTTCAATATTAATGAGGTTATAGTAATTTAACACAGCTTTATTAATTATAATTTGAAGTTTATTTATTTTTATTATTTTTGGTCTGAATCTCTCAACATTCGACCTGTGTGAAGTCACATATATGCTTATAAGTTTCATAGTTATCAAGAAGGTAAGTGAGGCGAGGGGCATTTGAGGCGAGGTTACTAACTGCTCACATACAGTGGGGGGAAATAAATATTCGTACACTTGAAAAATCGTATTTTAATGTATGTAAGTACACAAACTGAACAGGAGAAGTGATTTATATATCAGCATCTGCAAATCATTGGTCGAGACGTATAGAAATAGACTGGTATCTGTTGAGCTGAAAAAAGGGTATTCAACCAAGTATTAAATTAAAATAATGCGGATTTATTGTTTTGTACGAATACTTTTTTCACCCGAAAAGTGAACATGTTGCAATGTTTTTTGTTGCATTGAGATTTAATTTCTTTTGATAGTAGGTATTTTTGAATACTATGCGTCTCTATACATAATTTAAATCACTTTTCCTGTTAAGTTTGTGTACTTGCATACATTAAAATACGATTTTTCAAGTGTACGAATATTTATTTCCCCCCACTGTACATAACACTCCATCAGTCGCTTCTACGATTACTAATGTGTACGGTTTTCCACTTTTAAATCAAATATCAGGTTGATCCTAATCTTAGATTGAATTGGCAGCGGCAACCTGACTTTAAACGAGATTTGCTCATTGCATTAGTCGTTAGTTAACGGTAATGATCTTCTCTACCGTTTCTAGCTCTACCTACTACGACAGAGAAAGTCCCAATTTAATCCTGCTCGCGCATTATTGAGCGGCGATTTCAGAACATTTTGTGATCCAGCTCGCATGAAATTGTGGCTCGAGAGCAATAAAAACGGTCGAAATTGCGCAACTTTTACGGAGTTTTAGGAAAATTCTTACTCCCAGTAATCCAAGAAAATCATGAACGACAATTATGAGAGAGTAAAATAAAAGTTTGTACGAGACTTGATGCATAATTAATATGGATAACAAATTATTATAGGGTTTACTATAGCAACGATTGAATAATCTGAGTGTTTTTGTTATTTATTATCGCTGTTTAATTTTTTATGAATTCTCGCCAACTGTTCGACTTGCTTGCTGTTACGTCTCGGACAAATTTACGGCCGGACTTGCGGCCGGCCTCGCGTCCAATCTCCAAATTCAGTGAACAAGGAATATCTCCCAAAGTAACTAACGTAGCTAGGTGAAGCTTGGGACACTTATTCACTAGGACCTTACGGTGATGTTTAGCTCTAGAAATTTCTTTTCAATTTCGCCTTCATTCGTATGTTATATGGCGATACGTGTCGAAATTCGCACTGAAGAAGACAATTCTTTCAAAGTAGGTACTGAACTGATTTGAACGAAATTTTGATTATATATTCGTAACTATCCAACGGTGATGTTTAGCTCGAGAAAATTTTTTAGATTTTGCCTCCGTTCGTGACTTTTTTTCCATTTGACCCTCATTCGTAATTTAAACAGGAATACGTGCTTAAATTCGCAGTGAACAAGAAATTTATTCTAAACCACTGAACAGATTTGAATGAAACTTTATCTATACTTATGTACACCTAACCTCCCAACGGCGATGTTTAGCTCGTGACAATTTTTTCGATTTAGCCTTAGTACCATGCGAGTTATACGGCTTTACGTTATACGGCTCTTGGTCAATGCAAATTTAAAAATCGGCCTGAGAAATGAGGGTCGTTTCTCCGTATATCCGTTGAACTCGCGAACGAAAACAAAATCGAAAAAATTGTCACGAGCTAAACATCACCGTTGGGAGGTTAGGTATTCATATACAAAGTTCCGTTCAAATCTGTTCAGTATTTTAGAAGAAATGTCTTGTTCACTGCGAGTTTCCGCACGTATCGCTATATAACTCACGAATGAAGGTGAAATTCAAAAAATTGTCACGAGTTTAACATCACCGTAACGGTTCTAGTGAATACGTGTACTAAGTTTCATCGAGCTACATTCATTACTTTGGGAGATATTCCTTGTTCACTGAATTTAGAGATTGGCCGTGAAACCAGCCGCGAGACCGGCCGTAAATTTGTCCAAGACTTGAATTAGGGGAGACCGGTCGCGAGTCCGGTCGTAAAAATGTCCGAGACGTCTTTCTTTTCACCATTCCACCAGGTTACACAGCAAAACGTCTGTTTCTTTTAACTAGCCAATGGGCTTGCATCCAGCCGATATATCTAACTATAGAAATAAAACTTTAATTACCAATAAATAGACATTGAACGTACTATGTGCATAGTGGACGGCAACTGTTTGAAATAGTCGGATCCAGTAAATTCATCATTAAAGAGATTAAAAAGCTTGGTGATAGCGACTACATGACCTTGAATCAGCCTGCGCTGCCGACAATTCGATAAATCGTACGTCTGACAGCGCAGATAGTTTTCAACGCGTTCCGAACTCGTATCGAGTATGGCTGCCTGCCGAGCCACAGTTGCGCAATTTTTTACAGTGATGTGTGCCGACTGGTAGTAATGAGGCAAGAGACTGAGTAGTGTTGTTATTACTTACCATTTTATAACTTCCCTATTATAATCGGTGTAATTTATACGAATTAGTCTTTACATTCTATAATAATTTCTTATCTCGCAGACTTGCCCTGCGTTCACAATTTTTTAGCAATGATTCCAATATGATCAATTAGGTAGCTTGCAAATGAAAGTACCTAGGTAGCACCTTAGCCTATGAAACTGATTCTTGACTGCAGGTGCAGACAGTTGCAGTGCCACTTACAAAACTGTCAGTTTGGCTTGGCTGTTACTGGCGTTAGTCATGTGAGCTGTCGTTATAAATTAGTGAAATGCTTTATTTGTATTAAAAAATCACAGAATTTCTTTACTTACTTCAATATTCAATTGCAAGGCTGTTGCTGTGTAATGTCTTTGCATTATTTTTTTTATTATTCCTAATTGATCATGGATACAAGTTAAATAGTATATATATTTCCCTTCTTGCTTTGATAAAAAATTTATATCATTTAATTTATAGGAAATATGGTACCTACCTATTAATTATGGTGCAATATTATATAAATTTAGGTAGGGTAAACGCGGTATATTCCGACATCGTAGGTAATTCCGTCACCTCTCCAGCTTTTCCTTTATATTAAGCTTTGTTTTAGTTCCATGCGTTCATTGATGGTTGAAATGGTGACATCATACATTTGCGTGTCGAAATACTGCAAGCAATACGACTCACCACGTGTCGGATGTTGCCACACAAGGTGATGGAATATAGGGATTTAGTAGGTTTCCATTCTAAAGTCTTTTTGATTAATATGGCAACATTTTGTGATGTTTCATCGTTGCTGACGCGTAGTGAAGTGTTATGAGAGTCATGTGAAGGCAACAGAACTTACGTAACGCATATGTTTTTTTTTTATAGTTTTTCATTTCTCGAGGCGTCCTTAATGTGTCGTAATATACCGCGTTTACCCTAGCTAGGTGGAAATATTGTATTTTATGTGCATTTTAAACCTCATGCCACCCACTCTCACAGGGCTGGAAGTCCTATTTTTTCTGAAATATTGCGGCTCTAATATCATATAGGGTAAACACGGTATATTCCGTCATATTAAGGACACATCGATAAATGAATCCTATAAAAAAACCGTTTGCGTTACTCAAGTTCTGTTTGCTTTATGTGACTCTCAAAACACCACACTACCTACGCGTCAGCAACAACGAAATGTCACAAAATTTTGCCATATTTATTTAAAAGCCTTTAGAATGCAAACCTACCAAATCCCTATATACTGTCACTGTGTGTGGCTATATTCGGCACGTGGTGAGGCGTATTCCTTCCGCGCTTCAAATTCTTCTGATACGTAATGCCGTCATCCACTTGTTCAAATTCCATTTCGCTATGCGAGCTGTATTGAAATACAACTCGGCTTTGAATTAGAACACTAATGAATATTGAACACTAATTAATTACGCTTTTAATTAACAGTTATTAAGCTTTTAATTAAGAAAATTTTAATTTTTGTACACAGCTTGGAACGATCTGTGTGTGTCCAATTCAAGTTGTGACAGAATTAGTTTTCATGTGTCTAAATCCATTTCTCAACTTAATCATCTATTAATTTATTTACCACTTGAAATCAGCAAATACAAGTATCCTTAAAGGATTCCTAACATATTCACAGACATATTTAAAAGTCTCAAACCATAATATTCTTCCTATACCAACAGTTATTCACTATTTCGTAGAGCAAGGTCAACTGTCAAATTTGACTCATTTTTCGATGATCTCAATCATCTCACTGGGTAGCGTGCATTCTCTCTTTCATGGCCAAGACCTAGTGTTTTGGCGGTAGTTTGACACGCAAATGTATGATGTCACCATTTCAACCATCAATGAACGCATGGAACTAAAACAAAGCTTAATATAAAGGAAAAACTAGAGAGGTGACGGAATTACCCACGATGTTGGAATATACCACGTTTACCCTAGCCTACCTAATTTCAGTAGGCAGCAGGCCTAGGTATGAAATCTTGTGGCTCTATTGATTAGTCTAATGTCATAAATTTTTGTTTGATTGAAAAAAATTGCATTTTGTACTTCACAAACATTTTGTTTCATAAAATTTTCAACTTCCACGATCCACAGTATATATATAATAGGGTAAACGCGGTATATTCCGACATTGTGGGTAATTCCGTCACCTCTCTAGTTTTTCCTTTATATTAAGCTTTGTTTTAGTTCCATGCGTTTGTTGATGGTTGAAATGGTGACGTCATACATTTGCGCGTCCAACTACTGCCAAAACACAAGATCTTGGCCATCTAGCGGGAAAATATTGAGATCCAAAGAGAGACAATGCACGCTACCCAGTGAGATCATTGAAAAATGTGTCAAATTTGACAGTTGACCTTGCTCTACCAAATAGTGAATAACTGTATAGGAAGAATATTATGGTTTGAGACTTTCAAATACGTCTGTGAATATATTAGGAATCCTTCAAGTATACTTGTATTCGCTGATTTTGAGTGGTAAATAAATAAATAAATGATTAAGTTGAGATGATGAAAACTAATTCCATCACAACTTGAATTGGACACACACAGATCGTTCCAAGCTAGGTACAAAAATTAAAATTTGCTTAATTAAAAGCTTAATAGTTGTTATTTAAAAGCGTAATTAAGTAGTGTTCAATATTCATTAGTGTTCTAATTCAAAGCCATGTTGTATTTCAATACAGCGAATGGAATTCGAACACGTGGATGACGGCATTACGTATCAGAATTTGAAGCGCGGACGGAATACGCCTCACCACGTGCCGAATATTGCCACACACAGTGTCGGAATATAGGGATTTGGTAGGTTTGCATTCTAAAGGCTTTTAAATAAATATGGCAACATTTTATAACGTTTCATTGTTGCTGGCTCGTAGTACGGTGTTTTGTGAGTCACGTAAAGCCAACAGAATTCGAGTAACGCATATGGTTATTTTTTTATAGTTTTTCATTTCTTGATGCGTCCTTAATGTGTCAGAATATACTGCGTTTACCCTAATTACATGGCTTGTAAATTAGTTTTCACGGCCAAAATATGGAATTCATGGCTTGAAGAAATGGAATCACGGCTGGCAAACCCATAAAACCATGGCTTGTAAAATTCAGTTGTGGCTAGCCAAGTAGGCTAGCTAGATATATTCCATGCCTACACTCTCAGCCTTGGTTTGAGTGTCACAAGACTTGCTAGTTGATACTTTCAAGCTACTATTTTTACAATAGCCATATATTATTGTTTTTGAGGTCTAGGCCCTAGGGATAGCTTGCTAAGCTGGCTTATTTTTAATTAATTTTTCTGGTTACGTACTTCAGTTTTAGTCATGACGGGTGAAATCCTCGTAGCGCTAGTGCACAGAGGTGAAATATTAATAAAGGCTTAAAACACAGGTGAGATTGTCCCATATGCACAGCACAGGTGAAATTGTCCTTCATGCACGGGTGATTTTTGCTCATCCATAGGTGCTTTTAGCCCAATTTACCATACTAGTCATGAGTAATGCATCATAATTTATGCATGTCATGCAGTTTCTAACAATTAGAATTGGTTTAACTGGTAGATATTTCATATTTCATTCATCACCTATTGGAAATCTTTCATCTCCAGAAATATCATGAAAGCACTATTGTAATTTGACAATAATACGGAAGTTGCCACATGGCACATGATGAGATTTGACAATCTCTACTTGACACTCATGTTTTGTTGATGCCTTGTGACACTGACACATGCTGCAAAAATATAAAATTGAGCTGAAGCCACATGTGAATTGAACAAAAATGTCTGTGGATCAGACTAATTCCACCCATTCCTATGACCTCATCCCAATTTCTTCAGTGAAAAAGAAAAAAAAAACTATTTTTACTTGCAATATAAAGAAATTTCTGCATAATATTCAGAATTGACATGTATTATATAATTTTAAAATCTTGCAGCTTGATTGTGCAATTTTGTTAATCCTTGGAGTTCATTCATCTAGTGGAAATTTTACAGTTCATATTGGCAAAGGTGGAATTTTTTTAGATTCAGTTCAGGCTGATTCAGTTCAATATTTTTTTTACCTATCCTCCAAACTCTGGATGATGCTGTTTTTCATGAATTAACCTGGCCTACAAAGAGGCTCTAAGCCAGGCTGCAGAAAGTGGGTAAATATCTGAAAATCTTTGTCAGTTCATCTGCAGCAAACTTTATGCCTTCTAAAGATCTTGCCAGCACATTTGGATTGAAATAGTTGCATTTAGATATTTATGAATCTGTGCCTATGTTAACCACTTAACAAGTACACCAGTGGCTGCATTTTTTTTTAATTTCCATTTTCCAATCAGTCAGATTTGGCTGCAAAGAATGATCCACAATTCAGTAATTTTGGTTGCAATGCAATTGTCTACTGCATTACCTGTGGTGTTACAGATACACTCATCAAAGTTGATTTTGTAAGAATTTTGATGAAAATTATGTTTGCAATGCATTTTGAAGACTGCTGCAATGCAGCAACTCATCTTGAAGACTGGCGGTGATGCATCTTGGGTACAGCTGGCCACATTTTTGGTTTACAAATGCAAAAATTGGCATTGCATTCACCGAACTTGGCACTCAGGGCTCTAAGCCCTAGCACTGCAGTATCCCCTGGCATACAAGAAGCTCTATATACAATTATGTACCTATATAGGTTATGTTGAACTTCATGGCGAATGCTCTGGTCCAGCTGAGATTTGGACCTGGTCTTGCGGACTTGCTTGTTAAGCACTCTTGACTGCCACTTTTAGTTAAATGATGTAACTATTTGTCAACAACAAGATTCATCTTATTATACATACTGTTTTCATTGGTTTTAATATAATTTTTTTTTTCAGATGGAAATTCAGTTAGGTACTGTTTTGTATCCAAATTCTTGGAAAATTTAGTTTATCCTTAAATTTTGTCTTCAATATTAATTGCTATGTTTTTTTCAGTGATTCATGTGTTGCACATCTTGTGGACTTCAGCATGGAGGAGCCTGAAGTTTTCAGACTGTCCTTGGATGGACATGGCAGTGCAACAACTCTACATTACACGGAACTAATCAAGCAGTCAAATAAAATGCCAAGTAAACTACTGGTGCCATATTATGGTAATAAAGAATATGTGAGTAATATAACATCAAACAGTTGCAATTGTACTTGCATTCATGATGAGAGTTCTAAGAATGCTAGTCAGAACCACTCATCTGAACACAAATATAGTGATCACTGTTGTGGTTCATCATCCCAAGAACAACCTCATTATTGCGTATCTAAGTATTCCAGTCTTAGTTATGCATCTAGTGCTGATAGTAAATATCCCTCCAATGGTCCTTGCAATGCCACACAAATACCAAACCATGTTGCTGATTCATTTAATCAAAATATCTGTACAAAAGACTTGTCAAATTTTAGTTATCCACCACTGACTTCAGATGCAAAAGATCCAAGTACCAATGGAAATGATAGTCATATTACAGCTTTACAGAACCTTCACTTGAGCAATCCTGGCAATTATTTGGTGCCCATAGAAAAATGTTCATTCAGAAATTCTCCTAACTTGGCTCCAAGTTATACCTGTAGAGATGAAGGAGACACTGACGATGATGATGTCTTCACTTCTGCTGATCAGGAAGTGAGACAAGTGATGAGTGCCACCATAGCTAGGACAAAAGTTGTCATACCTCCAAAATTACCTTTGTCTAGCTAAGTTTTTCTAGTATTATATAAAGCCATTAGCTATATAACATTAAGATATAGAGGTTCATATTTAGTGAACATATGCTGCCATGTTCTTGACGGGAATATAGTCAGAATGTAATTCATTTATCAATCATGCTCTAACTTTTCCAGTAACGCTAAATAAATACGGTACGTAGTTTTTTTAGAAGTAACTATGAAATTTATTTACTCTATTTCCAAGTCATTCTATTGTTATCTTACTTATTTTTAATGAATTTGACTACCATCATGTAAAACGTAATGGAAAATGAATATTAACTAGTACATTTGAACCATTTTATTGCCATGACAAGCCCTAATTACCAAATTGAATTTTTCCAGAGAAGTCAATCAGATTTTTCAGACAATTCCTTTGTCGCAACTGCCATATATCTCTACTAGGGTATGTAATGAATAGTTATTGATGAAATTACTGAAGTATGGAGTGCAGTGAGATAATTTTACTTTGTGTTCTATGTTCTGTTCCATTTCATTTATATACGATTTTTCATTTCCATGTATCACCTGCAATGCCATATTTAAATCTTTACTGATTTTAAGCTTAGCCAGTGTAGTAGTACCTTATTCCCTGTATTTCTGGTTCTATTTCCATATTGTGAAATGTAATTAAACCTCATGTGAAGTAGTTAAAATTTGAAATTTACTTGAAATAAGTTGTAACAGTGCCTTGGCAAATGTTTTGTTCAATGTTACAGATGGGAGTTTGTATTGTGCCTTTTTTGATGTGTCAAAATTGTGTTACCAATTGAATGTATTTAATCTGTATAGCATGGAGAAATTTGTTCTGAGTTCTTATTAATTTGGATGAATAGTTGAGTATAGAGAAATAACTAAGCATTCATTTGAATGCGCCAACAATAAATGACATTGCAGTTCATAATAATACAGAACAATTTTTCATGTGCAAAATTAGAATAACTTGTGTAACCTTGGAATATTGTATTATATCTTGTATTGTGTTGAATTTCTTGTATGTCCTCAATAGATTCTGTGGCTAAAAGATTATTATTTTGACATCAGCTGACCATGTGTTGTTAAGGTACAGCTTATCTTTATTCTACTCTTTAGTCTTGCGTGAAAGTCAAGCTCAATGAAGCAATTATTGCTAAATGTTCAGCCATAGTTTGTCATTGCATCCAAAATATTACTGGTATATATACCTTGTACTTATAGATATATTTTCAAAAAACATACAGGAAATGCTTCAATTTCAATTCCTTCAAAATTGATGAGGGCTCAAAAAGTTTTAATTCAATATTAGAAATTCTAAATGAGTTACAAAACAATTTTTGATTAATATCATCCTTGAGTCAGATGATATTTATATAGTGTTAGGGCAATACTGTATGCTATAAATAATTGGCAATCCTTTTTTTATGAGAGCGGGAGATTTCAGCAATACGTCATTAATCATATTATAGAGAAATGTAGCAAGAATTGTGTGAAAATCTAAAATGAAACATTTATATATATGTGCATTCCAGCTCCCAGTTAGGATAGTGCACTGTACCTGCCAAAGTTTCATGATGGGAACTTCTCAGTTGATTTTGTTTACTCTAATTGTGCCTAAATATCTTCAAATCCAGTATAATTAAATTGTATTTATTTAAAAATGCAAGGTTGCGTTGTCCTAAATTGACTTTTTCAATCATTCCATCTCAGTGCCCCAACCCTCTTTCATGAAGCCTAGTATCCTTAAAATGTGATTCCGCCGTAGTAGTCCCAGCGCCATCCCTTGGTGGCTGTGCTTCTGGTACTATAGATGTAAAAAATGAGTGTGAATGAATAACTAAAGTGTCCTGTGTTCTCACAACTGATCGTCTTACAGAATATGATAAATTTTCATTTATGCGATACATAAACATTTCTGTGCTAATACCACCTTGTATGAAATTGCTTCAATTTTTCTTGATAAATCTATTTCAAAGGATTTGTTAACCTCTTTCTTGATTTTTGTTGCAGTGACCAAGTTTTAGGATATTAATTGTTGCTACTTTTCTTAAAGTGGAATCTTGATGAAGGCCTTAGCTTGGATAAATCGCTACGATGCGTACTAATTATAATAGTTAATAATGATTTCCTACTTGTTCCGCAAGTTAGCAATAATAAAAAAACTTGACTTGCTCATAAAAGTTGGACTATCAAAGTTTGTGTTAACCCAGCAGATTGATGGTGACCTCAATACTTTATAGTATCTTGTTGAATCAATTGTACATTGAAAAACTAATTGTAGGGTATTCATTTGGAACTTCTTTCTCGATTCACTTTGGAAATGCCAAATGATAAATCACTCGATGGCGGTAGGGGAGGAAACCCAAAGTGGACCCCGCCAAAAAAGTACAACTTGAGGAACTCGTCCAATGCTAACAATTTTTACTCAGTGGACTCGACCCAAAATTCTGGCATGCAAGCTATGCCTTCAGCTGATGGGAATTGCACGCATACTAGTGACGCGCTCATCAGTGGAGCCATGAAGCTCCCCAATGGACGGTACATGCTTAACGGCATGGAGCTCACCAAGCAGGAGTTGGACTTTGTGCTAGACAATACTGAGCCTCAAGAAGTCCCGAGTGAAAGCTCCATGCGCCAATCGTTGATGAGCTACATCCCAAATTTTCGAATATCTTTAGGTAGTAAAAGCAGTAAAACTGATGCCACAACATCACAGATGATGAAGAAAAGTGAACATGCACAATCATTGCATAAACAAATCAAATTTCGCACTAAACCTCTGACTGCAGTAGAAAAAGTAAGTGAAATTGTGTCATTTTTATTTAAAATTAGACTTTGATCCTATCTTATTATGCATTTTGGTCTTTGAACTGTACGTACATGCTTGTGTAGCTTTAATACATCAAAATTGTTTTTTTATAACCTACATGAGTCTGGATTAAAGATTAAATATTTTTAACTTAACTAAGTCAAGTTAAACTTCTTGCAATTATGTTAGGTACTGTCAATAGTAATATAAATATGATGGTTTCTGTCAGATGAACAAGATTGATTAATGCACTAGATACACTGAATCTATTGTGCACAAGGCTTTTTCAATGCATAGATACTAGCGACGCACACCAAGGAGGTGGAGGATGCCTCGACGTCTGCAGCGGCCGCCGCTGAGAAGGGACCTGAGTGCTCGATATGCCTCAGCAACTGTCATGAGGAGTCACCCTACCAGGCATTCTATTGCAGGTCGAGACTAACCGTCGAGTTTCTCTCAGAGATCTTTGCATTGGTTTCCAAATGTGAGAATTGAATTGTTGAATTGTCTCGAGTTGTACATTTTTTGCTCTTTCGTCAGTGAGTTAGTTCAATTTAGTGTTGAATATTGCGTATATATACTGTCTAACATGTATTTATATTTACTGACATCTTCAATATTTCTGACTTTTCTTTTAATTCATCCTGCTTGTGTGCAAATTGAAGTAAGTTACCCAGCAAATGACTTGGATGGATTGTTTATTTGTCTATTTGTTCTTCTATTTTCTCCCGAGATTGTTGGTCTCGATGATTGTTTTAATTATCTTGAATTATTTACTGTTGCAGAAACGAGCCGGGACATCGTGGGCTCTGTCTCATTTAGCCGATGCGGCCACGTGTTCCACGCGTGCTTGAATTATCTCGAATTGTCTGTTGCAGAAACGAGCCGGGACATCGTGGGCTCTGTCTCATTTAGCCGATGCGGCCACGTGTTCCACGCGTGCTTGAATTATCTCGAATTGTCTGTTGCAGAAACGAGCCGGGACATCGTGGGCTCTGTCTCATTGAGCCGATGCGGCCACGTGTTCCACGCGTGCTTGAATTATCTCGAATTATCTGTTGCAGAAAAGAGCCGGGACATCGTGGGCTCTGTCTCATTTAGCCGATGCGGCCACGTGTTCTACACGTGCTGCGTGTTTGAATTAACTTGAATTATCTGTTGCAGAAACGAGTCGGGACATCGTGGGCTCTGTCTCATTGAGCCGATGCGGCCACGTGTTCCACGCGTGCTGCGTGCTGCAGCTCGTGTCTCATGATGCCACCTCCATCGTCTGCCCAAACTGCAAGACCATTCACGGTGTCATGACGGGAACACAGCCCCCGGGAGGCACTATGACAGTCCAGACGCAGAGCATGCATCTTCCTGGGTATCCGCACTCGAAAACAATCGTCGTGTCTTATAAGTAAGCTCATCTCACGCGCTTTGGTATTGTATTTCCATAATAATTTTCTCAGCATTCTGCCCAAATTACACTTCAACATTACGTTTAGGTCATCCCATTTTGGCCGGGCATTTTTATAAATTTATAATATGTTGGCATTTTTATAATAAGATTTTCTCCCCGTAGCATTTTTATAATAAGCTTTTTTCACCTTGGCATATTCAGCTTATATTTTTTTAAGTAATATTGTTCCTGAAAAATCTAGAGAGCACATGACTGAAAAAATTGATTCAATTATTTCTCCTCAAATTGACGTGGAGATAATAATAACTATCTCAACTTTTGCGGGCTTGCACCGGACCTTAAAATCCTGCGTATTTTGTGTAAAATTCAACACAATTCAATCACGCTCGATGTCATAATTGTAAAATTATAACATTAATTATAATAACATGATTCATTCGCGCTCGATGTCGTAAGTATAAAATTATAACATAATAATTGCAATAATTAATTTATAATTAAACGCAACAACATAATTCATTTGCGTTGACTTAGAGATTGAACGAGTAGAAGGAAGAACTAGAACACAGAGAAATCTTGCTTCCACCTGATATTATTCTCTCTTGAAAGAATTCAGAAACCCAATTCAGAAACCCCCCAAACCCAAAAATCTGTCTACAAATAGAATCAATGCAGCTATAATTTGTATAAAAGTTTTAATTTTTGTTCCATTGTAATTTAAGGCTGAGTACGATTTTTGCAATACTTTATAAAAAATAATAAAAATGTACATGAGAGTTATTTTTCATAGTGATAAAAGGTGTCACAGTAATTATTAGAAATTTCGCATTAGATTTACCTACTTCTCTTATTTATTGACAATCAAAGTTCCAAAATAATTACCATACCTCCCTATAATGTTGTACAAAATTCGTTCAAATGTGTTATCAACTTAGTTCTGCCGATCGATAATGTTTGATTGAACAAACATCTATCACGCCAACGCAAACTATCACCGAGATGGGTTATTGCCTGTTTGTCTACATATCAAGCTAAGCTGGTCATTAAAAAATCTTCTAACTTCACTTCAGTGTAAAGAAATTGCAGCCGTACGAACGCAATTGGATGGAACTACGACAAAACTTCCCATTGGCTAAACAATTACTATTAGTGTAGTGCTTTTAGCTGTGGCTCGGTAAGCCCTGTCGGAATTTTACCACTGCTACCGTAAACTGAAAATTTAGTTGTGTGACCTAATGTAAATGGTGAAATGTGTTGTTACGACATTTATCAGATAATCGGGAATGAGGTAATCAAAACAAGAGACGGTGTCAATATCACAATGTGAAATCGAATTGACCGTGCGGAAGATTTTGCTGTATGTAAATATATTGTGACATAATATTCATAATAATCATAATCTAACGAAACATAGATTTGACATTTAAATTTCTCTTTATGTCGTAACATTTTGCCTCGTGTACATTTTCTTGTTCTGTAAATTAATCCGCTCTATTTGCAAGTGTGCTCACCATTGCATTTTCAAAAGTTTCCCTCTTCTGTAAATTGTTTACCAATAATTCAGAACTCTCAGTGGGCATTGTACTTTATTATAGTTTCCCTCGGGGCGTTCAAGACGCGAAGCATCCTAACCCTGGTCGTCCTTATTATTTAGTGGGGTTCCCTCGCGTCGCCTACTTGCCAGATACGCGGCAAGGCCGTCAAGTAAGTGCATTCCATACTCTAGTAGTAATTTATGGAGCAAGAGTAAATGATATTGGAGTTTGTGCTGTGGGCTTCCATTTCACTCGTTGCTAGAAACTTAAAGATGCGCTTTAGAACTTGATTTAAACGTGTCCTACTGACCGTTTTTTACAATCATTGAATGAATGTTCTACATTAATCGTTGCACGAAGTATGAAATTTTTAACTAACTACGTACCTCTCACTGTGATGTCGTTATTATAACTACAGCTGCTTACTACTGATTTAAATTAATAGAATGGGACATTTTGACTATTTTTACCGATTGTTAAAACTCCTGCAGTTTGCAGAACAACTTCCAATTCATAGAGCTTTTTATCGTGACTGTGCATCATTTATCAACTACCAGTATTTTAGTAGTGGAAAAAACATTTCTGTTGTCAGGTGTTGTCATTGCTACGTAAAGCCTTTGATCGACGTCTTATCTTCACGGTGGGGACGTCGGCGACGACATCGCAGCCTGACTGCGTCGTGTGGAACGGCGTGCACCACAAGACGGAGGTGACCAACCACGGCGGCCACGGCTACCCCGACCCCAACTACCTCGACAACGTCACCATGGAGCTCGCCGCCCTCGGCGTAACAGAAGACTCGTAATCCATCCGCGCAGTGCCTTGTCTCGTGTTGCAGCATTGTGCAATTGTTGTATCAATGTTCAAATTTGCTGGTTGCAAGTAGTATCTCATTAGTATTGTGTTATTTTACTTGCTCATAAAAATGGAATATATAATCGAGAAATGTTTAAAGTGTGCAAGACTTCGTTATTCTGCTATTAAGTTAAGTTTTTTGGCGCATTTTCTCATTTATGGAAAAAAGGCGCTATTGTTCGTCATGCCCGTCCGTTCGTCCGTCCGTGACTTCATGTTTTCGTCGATTTTGAGAAAATGCGCTCTCTAGTCACTCACGGCAGTGAGAACTGGTCTAGCTTTTTTGCGATGGTAGTTTCTGCAAGGACTTTCAATCGAGTAAGTTAATGCAAAAAGCTTGTAGGTACGCAGAGGACTATTCACAGAGCACTTTTGTTAGCAGTGTAATGCAGCACTAATGTCCGAACTGGAAGCAACGTTGCGATGCAACTTGACTTCTTATGGGAAAAAATTAATGAGGTTTGGAACACAATTTAGTCACTTTTCGTCGGTTACCGTGCTGGCAAGTTGAAATTTTTCCGGCAATATTAGGAATGGATTTTCAAAATATGAATGGAATCACTAAGAAGGATTTAGCTAGTTGTATTTTGTGGATATTTCACTTGTATTATTTAGTGTTCATTTCTTGATTCAGTTTCAAGTTCAAGATATTGAACGAGTTATTTGTATTGATCTAAGTTTACTGTACTCGCTCTAAACGATTTTCTATGCAGAATCATCTTGTCCTGAGTAATAGATGCTTTATTATTCGTAAATAGGCGTGTCTCATTTTCACCTCTATTCTCGGTAGATTAACGAGATAACTGCTGTTCGGTATTATTCAAAGGCTGCCGATTAATTGTTTCGTTGGTGCAGGAATAAGAGGTAAGTAGCACCCGCGGAGACAATACTGTTCCTACAGCTATTGTGGGGACCTTGGCCAATCCCCCGGGATTCTCGGCCAATCAATTGTTGTTGTTGTTGTTCGCCCTCCCCGTCCCGCGACAAGTGCGGGACGGGGCCTACACCCATTCCTGTGGCCAGCTCAACCTCTCTCCCCAGCGCGCCAACAGCCCTGCCGCCTCGATGGGAGAGTCCCACAAAACCAGGGGCGACAAGGGCGTGACCAGTTCCGAGCAGCCGAACAGGTGGCAGGTGTTGTGATCATGTCTGAGACAGAGTGGACAAAGAGGGGACGGATGTGTGGCTGGATCTATCTTGTGTAGGTATTGGTGTAGTAGGGGGGACTTGTTTGTACGGAGTTGTGCTAGTGCTCGGCGTGTGTGCTTGGATAATTGGGTTTCTGAAGAGTCTATGGCTGGTGCTGGTGCCGAAAGTACAGCATTGTTTGGTAGATTGTCCATGTAGTTAGTTGTGATTGTAGTGTGTATTTGTTTCTTGCATCTATTTAGTGTTTCTGTTGTGGCTTGATCTGGTTCTATGAGTATGTTAGTGGTATAGTTTCTGTTTGTGAAAACTGTTTGTTTCATAAGTCTGGGTGGGATGGGATGCATGGAGTCTGAGGTGCTGGTCTATTGGAAGCGTTTTTGTTTCTGTGTGTAGGGGGCTTTGGTTAGTATCAGCTGTACAACCTGTTGCAATGCGGAGTGCTGTGTTTTGGATTGTTTGTAGTTTGTTTGTGTGAGTTTGTGCTAAGCTGGGGGACCAGATGGTGCTGCCGTATTCTATTATAGGTTGTGTTATAGTTTTGTAGGTGGTGAGTAGGACTTCTTTTTGTTTTCCCCAGTTTGTTGATGTGAGAGATTTTAGAATTTTTATTGTTTTGGTTGCCTTGTCATGTGTGTTGTGGATGTGGGTATTGAAGTTTAGTTTTGGGTCAAATGTGATTCCTAGTATTTTTGGGTGTGTGATGGTGGGGATTGTGGTATTGTCTATGGTAAGGTTTAGTATTTTCCTGTATTCAGCGGGGATTCCAATCAATTCATCGTCATCATCAGCAGATCTCATCACTGGAGACCTCCCGCCCTTTATGAACGATTTGGGAATAAAGATTCAATAACTAGGCCATTTTCCTTGCTGGTGATGTTAATTTTTGATCTCCAGTTAAAAGTAACTTAATAGCTGAAACCATCCTACTAATCATCTGTAGTGTTCCTGCAATTCGAATCCGATGCTTAATCGTAGGAAAGCTAAACGAGCTTACACTTTTTCCGAAAGTTGCAGCGTACTAGGGCTTAATCTTAGAAGTCGAAGTACTAGCTGAATTGTACACACAAATCAAAATTGATGTTTTGCATCAATATTATTATTTTCGCTTTTTTTGAACGACTGGTTTCATTTGCAAGGTTAAATTTCAAACCGCAAGTACAAGTCGTATATATATGGTTGTACGTACCCTAGACGATTTTAGTTGCTGTGCGCTGGCTAGAGAACTGGTTAAATAAACGGTATTACATCGCTTGCCATATTCCGTACGCGTTCCTGGTTGGTGGCATGTGTGTCTCGTTACATCAGTCAATTCAGTCGTTAACCAATGAAGTTGTTCGGCAAAATCGACCTAATAAATAATAATGTAGTTGAACATAATAGCATTTTTCCAAATTGAAGACTTCAAGTGAAATTGTAAAGTATTACTTTAAGTTATTGGGTGGTATTTTTCATTTTGGGAATTTTATTCGTTCTAAGAATCCTCGCTTCCGACTCTAAACCAAGATTGACTTTGTTGGAAAGAGCTCTTGCAGCGTCGTTAGGTTGCAGTTGTCGTACAGTCTCACAATCGTTACACTTCCGTCGCAACCGTGTCTCGTCGCGACTCGCGACGGTTTCAGTGCTTCGCCAGATCAACTTGTGACTAGTCAGGCATGTGGCGTGCTGTGCATTCAATTAAAATCGAACTCAGTGTTATTTCATTTATTTGAATTTGAAGAAAAATTGCTTGGCACAGTAAATCTGCGTGGCATTTCCATTTTGTTAAGAGTATTTCACGTCAAAAGCTCGTTTGATGCATTTGCTTCTGTTTCGTGAAGGAAGCATTTATGTATATTCACTTTCATGTTTATCATAGAACCTTGTAAATGGATAACTTTATGCGCAAACCTTGTGGCGTTTGAACATGTAGGTGCGAGAAAGTTCTACGAGTGTACGTGTGTACAAATATTAGTATAGGTTGGCAGAATTTCTTCTTTCAAGCAGGTTTCATTGAAGACCAGAGAATTTGTTTTATTCGCAATTTTCTTATTAGTTTTTTCAACATATCGAACAATATTTTTAGTTTGAACTGGCAAATCGAAAATCAGGTTACCGATGGACATTTTTATTTCGTTAACGACGTTTTGAATGTTTCTATCATTCATTATCAAGTTAAAAGAAATGCGCCTTTTAACTTGATAATGAATGATAGAAACATTCGAAACGTCGTTAACGAAATAAAAATGTCCATCGGTAACCTGATTTTCGATTTGCCGGTGTGTACAAATAATATACTTGGATTAGCATACACACTCATGACTTTTGCCACGTTTGCCTCACACGTAACAATTGTGGCATAAGTGAAGCAATGCGTGAATGTTTCATTGATTCATTACACTTTAATTCGAAGCCTGGATTCAAATTGATTAGTAGAACGTTTTTGAGTCCTTATTTATCAAATGATTGTTCGTGAAATTTCGCGAAGTGTTTCATCGAGTACAAGCTTGGCAGATAACAATTATAGATGTGCTAACTCTCCATGGTGCACATTAGTCAAAGAAAATGGTGTAGCTAGCCTACCTCAACTCGTCGGACGAATTTAAGAATTTATGCATTTAAATTAATATTGTGTTACGGGTAGTGGTAGAATTTACCTGTCTGTGAATCGTATGGATTTTTTTTGCTGATAACATGCGACATATTTGTCTGTAAAAATAATGACGCTCGTCCTTATCTCCGTATAGTAGGTATAGTCAGCGTTGCGGAGATAAGGGAACGGATTGGGAATTCTAGTGGAAATCACATTACAAATATTTATTACTGTTTGATATATTATCCTGGTTTAATTTCATGCCTTTTTAAAAAAATAACGCGGTAGATGAAAGGTATCGTAAAAATGGCCTGTGTTAATTCTTGTCTTATTTCTTACGAAAACAACTTTTGCGACAATCGTTCACTGAGATTTGCTTAAACTGCTACAGAAAATGTACTTAACCATTCTAAAACCCAGTCAGTGTGAACGAGCACTTTTGGTCTTATCCGTATCGACTGTTCAATGTAGGATTTGATAACCGCTATCTGTTTTGGCGCGATAGCGTCATGATCGGTCATTGGCTGTTCATCTACGTCTACGCATGCGAGTTTATTGCAATGATGTTTATATTGAGCGCGATGCCCTGCCAAAAGATGTTAATGTATGGTAGATGTTATTTATAATTAACATCATAAAATGTTAATGTCATTATTGCAATAATGTGCGTTTGAGAACGAGATTAACCCCAGAATCACATAATAATGGCGGAACAAGAAGACCTAAGCTTCAGTATGCAGAGTGTGCACATGGGCGAAGTCTCGCAAGTGAATAACTCAGAAACGCTAGAATTTGCAGATACATGTTGAAGCATGGTTTGCTGTACTGGGAAGCCAGTTCATCTTGAGGAAGATGAAGACAAATGGCCTGAAATTACCGAATACATCAGCAGTATTACCAACAAATGTTTTTTTTTTTTTATAAATTAACAAAGTTGTCGCCAAGAATACTAAATATGAGAAACTCAAATCAACTCACAATCTACGAGTGGAGTTATGCTGAAATGATTGAGAAGTTTATGAAGACTTCAATTCTATCAGGTAGGGCATTGCATTTCCTACAAGTAATGGCAATGGCCAATAAACTAAATGTTGGGTTAAACATGATTCGGCACAAATTGCAACAGGCTCTCCCACCAAGCGTCAAGCCAAGACCGGACTCTTCACAGAGAACACCATGCTCTACTCCCACATCAGAAACCCATACGACGTTGCCTTCCTGGAGTTCCTGCAGGATGATGACCTCAACAAGCTTGAAGTCGGGAACACACTTGGCAGATTGTGTTCAAACGTCGAGAAGTGCCACCTCCTCTCAGTTACAAAGTCCCCGATACCTTCCAGCTAAAGCCTGCCTCGGCCATATCTTGAAATCCGTCAAGGACTCCAAGCACCTCGGAGCTACCATCACCAACAACCTGCATTGGGGGAACCATGTGAAGTCTGCATTCGCAGCACCTCTCAGTCGGGACTTCTGACGGGTGTCTGTGCGCGTCAGAAGTCCTATGGGATTTCGCGCTCCTAGGAGGATTGCTCCTGAGCGCCCCACCGCTGAGCTCGCGGTGTCTGACTGCAGGTCTCAGTTGTGGGGTTAAGTTATTATATAGGCAGGATTCCTTATATTTCCCTTCTCTGTCTCTCTCGTGCGGGCGGCCGACGTACGTGTAGGCGACCTCTTGTTCGAGTGTCTTCGTTTCTGTTGCTTTTCGCCTGTCCCTCCTTGTCACTTCGTCTCTTTGAGATGCTAACGCTGCTTCTTTCGAGCCAGCTTCAGCGGGCTGGATAATTGAGACCTCCCGCCCCTGGTGGGTGATGATAAATGTGAGATTTTGAATAATTGAGAATTTCTGCCTCGCTGGCGATGTTACATTTTGACCTCCGTTGCGAAATAGCTTAATAGCTGAAGCGCTAGCAAATCATTATACTACTACTACTTGTGTCGCAGCAACGGCCCTTAGGATAAGCGCCTTCACCCACCGGAATTTGAAAGGATGCACCACAAACGTCCAGACCCACTACTGTAGGAGCATGTTCCGAGCGATTCTGTAATACGCATCGTCCGTGTGGGAGCCGCACCAGCAGGGCTTTGTGTCCGCCCTGGAGGCAGTTTAGCGCGGATCCTCAAGACGTATCCTTGAGGACTTCAACCCATAATCAAGCGCTTTATCGATGGTGACAAAATTAGGCTTCGGGTCACTCGTGCAGAGAACAGCAGCGAGCAGGGCCTGTTTGACGTATAAATTCATTCATAAGCTGGTGGACACGAACGTCCCACCTGGCAGGCTACAGCCCGCTGTCAGAACCACCAGAGGCCGCCATCAGAAGCTCATTGTGCCGCACGCAAGAACTGATGTATACAGCAATTCGTTTTTTCCTTCCGGTACCAGACTATGGAACTCCCTTACCAAGGAAACCGTAACTGCCACCGACCTGATGCTGCTATGTAGCCTTCAAAACAGCAGAGAAGGCCTGACTAAAACAGTAGACTCAAGTATAGGGAAGGGAGCCCATAGTTATGCGATCATAAACTTTTGACGCTGTATTTATAAATCGTATGCTTTATCCCACAGCATGCTCATATATGAACCAATATATGTATATTTATTTTTTGTTGGAAATTCAATATGGAGCTTTTCCTAGCGACATCGGGCTAACCACTTTTCTTTAACAAATAGAGAAATAAAAAAATATACTATATATATTTAAATATATTCCTATAAAGTAAGAATTAAGTAAAGATTTAAATTAAAAAAGAGATTAATTTGATAATTACAGTTTAGTCATTTATTTACTTTTCCCGCAATTTTCAACTCGTGTTGATTCGATATCATTACGCTGAATAGTATGATATTTGGTATGGAATCGTTAACTGCTTACGTTATTTAATTATATTAACTTTATTTAATCCTATGTTGCAGAGACGAATCATTTTTAAGCGATGTCTGCCTCAGATAGAGGTGGTGAGGAGAGGTCATTGAGTCCGATGGATGTGGACAATGCAAACCAAGTAAGCTATAAGTCGTCCAGCAGCTATTCCTCCATTGGTGCTGGAGGACAAATGTCATCTTATCCTCGGAATAACTCGCACGACTCCTTAGTGAATGGAGTGAATTCTGGAAACTCGAATGACGCCCCTGAGACACCCATGGGTAAGATAGGAGACCAATGGAAGACGCACGATAGCGTTCCCTGTGATGAACGCCGTGGCTGTACAAATCATCCAAGTAACCGTATTGCTTCTTCCTCATTGACAAATAATTCATCATACCGCGACCTGCACTCTTCATCGACAGGACTTGATGTGAATACAGATCTTGTGTACTCGAGACATTCATTGCAAGTTAACAGAAATGATGATCGAGAGTACGATTCAGCCACATCGACTGGATTTCACGTGGCCTCCCAAGAAGACGATGCAGCAACCGCGCGTTTCTTAGCAAGTAAAGCGGTTGATGGGTCCAGTACAGTTCTAGATACAGCTGATCTCGACCGAGTAGTGCTTGACGCCGCTTCACATGCTTCCTCATTGCTGATAGATTTGGCTGACACTCAAGCCGCTGCCGTGTCTTCGCTGCCATCAGTCAAATCCAAACAACGACCTTTGTCTCTCCCTCAAATGGATTTATTTTCTGAAAATGTTATTGCTCAGCACGCACCGCCAAGCTTTGTTAAGGGTGTGAAAGATTACGTTGGTTCTGCAGGGGCAACTCCAATATCGCAACAAACTGAATCCGAAACTAATTTCCCCTCGAATACTCATCACAATTCGTACCAGAATAGAGACGTAGTACCACAGTCCTCCTCCATCATTAGTGATGAGTACGAGTCACGTAAAGATGATAAATATAAAATATCATCCCTCACGGACACAGCAATGTTCGACAAAAGCAGGGGCTTGTCAGAGCTCTCCCAGGAACGTGGTGCTGATCGGGGCTCTGAAGATGCCACCTGTGCTCGGGCAAGCAGCCCTGGGTCTCCCACGTCAGCTGACAAGAAATATCGTCAAATAAAATTCCGCGAGAATCCGACTACCAACTTCGAAAAGGTGATCACCTAGAATTCCTATTCATTATGTCTTCTTGACTGTAAACAAGTTGTTCAGATATTAGTGTGTAGCTAGATGGAAATAACTTCATTCGGGCCTTCAAAGCATATGTGGACTGTAAACATGGATGCCTGGCTGTCTTTAATTAAAGGGCACTTTAGGTATGGACTAACAGTTTTGCTGGTAATAATTTCGAGTTCCTGTATTAGTACGGCCACTTTTTGTGACTATATTACCATTGCTCCGTCGAGTAATCATAATTAATGGAAAATATTCAAGAGAATTTTAACTCGAATCAATCCAGTGAGAAACAATTTGCAATAGGTGCGATAATGTCATGTTCGAGAAGGAAGAAAGTCGTTGACAGTGTGGAACTGAACATGACTCTTTTATTCTGCAGGCAATCGTTCGTGTGACTAAGTATAATTTATCACCCACGTATGCAAGTTCATGTTTTTAACACATCGAAGCTCAGCAGTTTTTCTAATCAAATTGGAGGAGGTTAATAATATTGAATTCAGTGTCATTTAATTATTAATGTTATTGCTAACTGAAATCGACCACCGGATAAGAACCCTATGAATATATTATTCGATTTAATTGTGCTAGTCTGTGTGGATTGCCTCACATTGAACTGATACTTCAAATTATAGTCTTAGGTGATGAAAAATTTGTATAAGAAGGATTCCCCTTTATTTCCTAGGCGCTGGCGGCTCACACTGAAGAAATCATCATCCAAACAGCGGGAGACTCGGCAGAAGACTGCTCCATCTGCCTGTGTGGAGCACATGAGGAGTCCCCGTACCAGTCACGGGCAGGTGTGTGGGCCAGTCACGGGCAGGTGTGTAGGCCAGTCACGGGCAGGTGTGTAGACCAGTCACGGGCAGGCTTTCGAGTGAATCAGTGGTAGGGGTGTAGGTTCAATACGGTATAGTATAATTTTTCTCGTTCTCTAACATTCATTTCATTCACCATCTATTATTCAAAAGTTATACCTTTATATACCCTATAAAACTAAAGATTATTCATGAACTCTGCCGCAATTGATCTTTGCCTATCTTTAATCAAGGAATTTCTTTTCACCAGAAGGGAAGTTTTTGATTTTTACCATCACTAAATACTTGAATTTTGTCAGTAAAATATATTTTTGTTCCCTTATGGACATGTGACTTTGTCCTCAGAGACTGTGCGTGACATCACGGGCAGCGTGGCACTGAAGCAGTGCCGGCACGTGTTCCACGCGAGCTGCCTGGTGCAGAGCCTGGCGACCGACGCTACCAGCATCACTTGTCCCAACTGTAAGACCATCCATGGCACACTTACGGGCACGCAGCCCAGCAACGGTACCATGCATGTGCGCCTCAACGAGTATTCCTTGCCTGGATACGATGGCTGCAAGACCTACAAGATAACATACAGGTTAGGTCTTGATTTTCATCTAACAATGTTGGAGGAGAGCTTCTCGAACAGATCACTGTTTAGATTTTTTCTGTCAGATGATATGCATGTGGGAATAGCAGACAAGGAAAAAGATCATATAAATAAAATTTTCAGCGAGATATTGATGTTACTAATTTAAGATGGGTACATTCAAATCAGGCAGCAACTCTTAAGCAAAATTTTTTATTTACTCTAATTGCTCATTCTGTATTTAAGTGTAACATAAACGAATGTGTCATGTGCACTGTCGAGCAATAAATGCAATTGGTAGGTATGTCAGAATATTGTATCCACTTATTTATTCTTTAAATTTTGTTATAAAAATAAATTTCTGATTCTTTAACATATTCTCACTTGTAACATCTTATGATTCTATTGAAATGAAAGGACAACAGACTTTTATATTTATAATCAAAGTATTTAGTCGGTTAAAGAAAATAATCTTGTTTGTTGATAGTTTCCCGCGAGGCATCCAGGGGCCAGAGCACCCCAGTCCTGGCCGCCCCTACTTCCTGATAGGCTTCCCTCGCTGCGCCTACCTGCCTGACACGCCTAAGGGTAGGAAGGTGAGTCACTATTAAACGAACAAAATTCTTGTACATTTATATCAGGTAGTAACTCTTGAGCAAGATTTTTAGCGCAATTTCTCATTTATGGAAAAATGCGCTATTGTGCTCGCCGTGTCCGTCTGTCTGTCCGTCTGCATCCAACAATAAATCGTCTTAAGAACCCTAGTTCTGTCTTGCGCAAGACCACAACTCTTAAGCTTAAAAAAATATTAAAAAAACCTTGCTACTCATCTCGTAATAAGGCTTCGACGTCATCTTGGTTCTGATTAACAGTTAACACAATCCATATCCAAAGGTGAAAGTTGACCTTCGATTTTGAGTTCTGAGTGAATATTTGCAGTGAATTCTTTCATGGGATAATATGGGATGCCATGTTAGAAAACTCGCGCCAAAACTGCTTCATGAGATTAAATAATAACAATTAAATCATAACAATAATAAAAACAATAAAAATCTTTACATTTTGTTCATAGTGCTGGTGCAGGGGTCTAATATTTTGTTGATATTGTTTGCGTAGAACTAGTGACTCTTACAGCAATTATTCGCTTGAATATAACAGAGAAGAACTCAGATCAACATAGATCAAAATGAAAAATTTAAATCTGGAATGATCACTAAACCTTTATGATGTATTTTTTCTGAATATTTATATCGGTGATAAGTAATAAATTAATCTAATTTTTCCTAATTTTAGTCAGAGTATTCAAACCCAATGAAAACGAAATTTACCGTAGTAAATACTTTTGCATAGAAAAGCAAACCATCATTTGAATCAAGGATGGTAATAATCAATATTACAATTACCATCAAGAGAAATGGTAATAATTGTATAATGTTTGCAAGTTTATTTGAATGGTGACAGTGATTGAGTTGGCAGATTATCGAAACCCAGTTACTGTTGACTTATATTGTTGTTGTGAGCTTTGTACATCATGATTGAGCTTGTCGCTCGTCATTTATAGGTACAGGCAGAAATATTGCATCCTGCTTAGAAATAGCTCCTTCATTAATAATTAAACAATTTTCAACACTAGTTTCATCAGTGGGTAAAATATTAATTGGGGGGGGGGGTACTTAACTGCAGGATGACGCAATTGTGATGGTCGTTGTTCGCAGGTACTGCGACTACTTCAAGAGGCGTTTGATCGACGTCTAATTTTCACGGTGGGGACGTCGGCGACGACATCGCAGCCTGACTGCGTCGTGTGGAACGGCGTGCACCACAAGACGGAGGTGACCAACTACGGCGGCCACGGCTACCCCGACCCCAACTACCTCGACAACGTCACCATGGAGCTCGCCGCCCTCGGCGTCACGGAAGACAAGTGAATTCATGAAACATTTTCGCGGGTTTTTATTTCTTCTGAAGCTTTTCATGAACGCAGTGATTCATTCACCTGCATTTTTTTTCCCCACTGATTTTGATTGACTTGCGCTCATTTTATTCACTGTTGTACTTGCGTGAGGTTCATCTTCATTGCAGGAACAAAACTAAGACATTAATTTATATTGTGTTTAATTTAGTTGTGCAGCGTCTTATAGAGAATGAATACAAATTTCAAAACAAGTTTAGATTTTTTCCAATTTTTTACTCGTTTCGATTATACCTATTATTTTCTCTAGAGAAAGTATCCCGTGTTTATCTGAATAGTTCAAAATTTTTCAAGATTTTTATCGAAAAATATTGGTCAGACAATTCACTATAAATGATTTTGTAGCATTTGCCTCATTCTGTCTGATATTTTTAGTGTTATGATCAGATCTCATTAAAAAATTTATTTTCGAACTGTAAGTATATCGGTGTCAAGTATCTTGTGCCCAACCAATTTTTTGTCTGTTGTCTAAAATGAGGCTCTTTTTCAGCTGTCGAAATTTTGATAATGACTTGGCGACAGCCGACGATGCTTTCCTGAGCATCAATAGCGACTCCAGCTCCACAATTGGTGCACAGACTTTGAACTCTGTACCTAATCACAGTGACATCGCTGCCGGTGACGCCGACTCCAACAACGCCTCTAGAGATGACTCGACTGGCGCCGGAGACCTCATGACACGCGACCGTTCTTCCGATCACTTGCAACAGCGCGGGATATGTTCATGTCCCGTTAACCACACGTGTGGTTATAATCATGGAAGTTATTCGTCAAGTTCTGCGAATTATGGAACTAATTGTGATGCAAATACGAATTATGGCAATCATTCCTGGGGACCCCAATATAATGATGGTTATTCTGGATGTGCCACGCATTATGATGGTTATTCTTGTGATCCCTCAAATTCGTGGAATGATTTTGGAGCTCCTTCAAATTATGGCAGTTATTCTGGCGGTCACTCGACTCATGCTGGTCATTCTGGAGGTTACCCAAATCATGGTGGTCATTCTGGAGGTGTCCCAAATTATAGCAGTTATTCTGGAGGTCACCCAAATCATGGTGGTCATTCTGGAGGTCACCCAAATCATGGTGGTCATTCTGGAGGCTACCCAAATCATGGTGGTCATTCTGGAGGTGTCCCAAATTATAGCAGTTATCCTGTGAGTTCCATAAATCATGGCAGTTATTCTGGAGGCCCGCAGTATCATGACAACTATTCTGGAGCTGCATCAACCCACGATGGTTTCTCCGGAGCTCCTAGAAATTCTGCCAGCCACTCAGGACGTTCCACAAACTGGAGCACAGACTCTAATGCCAACTCCCCCTACGGTGGACGTTCATCGAGTAACGACGCTAATGACAACATCCGCTCCCCTGTACGTGGCAAAAATTCTTCAAGAAAGCAAAAGAATTTTGCGCTTAATTCTCCTGGATCACCAAGCCCTTCACCACCTGTCAGCAAAGCCCCGCCTGGGGACCAACAGCACATCTTCCGAGATAATCCTGTATCCAACGCTGAAAAGGTATTTATTTTTACAAATTTTTATGCAATTCATAAACTGTTTATGTATTTTTCTAATTTAATCTTAAATCTTACCGTACCTCATAAAAACATTTTTCAGCGTTGCAATTATAGTTGTGCTTGAATCCCTGGAGCACTTAAATCGTTGAACAATCCAATTCGTTATCGGTAATTTTACGTCACAAGCCAGGCCATAGAATTACCCATTTTAATCATGAGCTCAAACTGACTGCTGAAAGCGCTGTCGAAATGTTCCCCCGCTTAATGAATTATTTTTTTTGTGCAGATGCTGCGTGACATCTCCTTTGAAGTTCCTGTAACGCCTTCTCAAGGAGAAGATACCGAAAAATGTTCCATTTGCTTACACCGCATCCACGAAGTTTCGCCGGCTCAGTCGCCTACAAGTATGATCTTTTTTATAATTAACTTGCGTGAATTCTGGTGAATTTCTTCAGTTACTTGACATTAGTCATTTTACCTCATTAGTGGCTGGACCGAAAGTAAAGGTTGTGAGCCATTTCATTGTTGAAGTTTCATGTTGGAAAGTAATATGCTAAGAGTCAATAAGATGGAAGTTCAATCTGGTCGGAAATGTGTCTGGGAGAAGGCTTTGCCTCACTTATAACTTAAATTGCTATCGCTGGATGTTTGCTGAAGTTTTCTGATGTTGATTATTTGCATTAAAATCGTTATGATATGGACAGATTTGGTGTCATTCTCGTCCTAAATGCTGGAAATTAAATCATCCGATTGTTGTTCGTTCCTAGCTGTATTGAACATAGTTAGGAAAGACAAGCATCCTATAACTTGATTTTTCGATATTATGCTTATTGACGACGATGATTGTTGCTTGGCTTTAGCGTTTAATCCACTGAGTTGTTATTGGAGAGAGAAGGTTCAGCCCCAGCACGGCACACGGCGGCCTGGTTGGTGCAGTGATGCTGGCTAACTGCGGCCACTGCATCAGCTGTGTTTATCACTGCAGGCACATCACGCGGCCTGGTTGGTGCAGTGATGCTGGCTAACTGTGGCCACTGCTTCCACTGCTGCTGTCTACTGCCGCTGCTCGTGACGGCGGCGCAGAGCTTCAGTTGTCCGGTCTGTCGGACGCTGCACGGCGCTGTCACGGGCACGCAGCCTGTCGGGGGGCGCATGAGCAGCAAAGTCGAGAACTCTTCCCTTCCCGGGTTCAAGAAATGCAAAACTATCGTCATAAATTATCAGTAAGCGCAGTGGAAAGTGTTATATTAAATTCTAAATTGTATATTATACCAAAAATTTATCCACATCTGTAAATTAGTTCATACTTTTTTGAGGTCACTCTCATTCGCGATTCTTCTCCTCTGACTGTCATAGGGATAAGTTGTTATGTATGTTGGGCAGTTGAGTTTTTATGCGTGCAGGATTCCTTACGCTTCCATTCTACGTTATCTCAAGTGCTCGAGGTTTCGTTCAAGGAACCTTGGAACCTTTTGACTTTGTTTTCGGGAGCTGCTATAAGATTTTAGTTCAGATCGGAGTGCTACGGTACTCAACACCAGCTACGTGATGGCAATTGTCCTGACATTTTTAACTCACTCTAATCTAGACTCTGACGTCATTTTTAATTCACTCCAATCTTTGACGTCATTTTTAGCTCACTCCAATCTCTGACGTCATTTTACAACACTTCTCTTTAACTTCACTTCTTGTTTGTCTGTCTGTCTGTCTGCTACAAATCTTATAATCTATTTTCAACACACTGTTACCTCTCCAATCGATCTGAAATTTTGCACACTTGCGTAAAGTTGGAAACAATGCATGAATCAATTGACAGAATAAATAATTTTATAAATAAATTTTTTTTTCAATATTAAAAAATTCTAAAAATAATTTTGTCTGCTATAAATCTTATAATCAATATATAACACACTTCTAGCTGTCCAATCTATCTGAAATTTTGCAGACTTGCATAAAGTCGGAGACAATGCATAAATCAATTGACAGAATAAATAATTTTGAAAATTTAATTTCTTTTATGTATTAAAATAATGAAAAAATAATTTTTTTTAATATTTGAAATTAAAATTAAAAATTCATTGTTCATGTTTTACATTGGAGACACTGGATTTTTTAGAAGTGTTGTCTTTAAAAATTAATTTTTAAACATACATTATTTAACTCCAATATCTGATGTCCTGTTTGACTCACTCCAATCTCTGACGTCATTTTAACTCACTCTAATCTCTGACGTCATATTTAACTCACTGTAATCTATGACGCCATTTTTAACTCACTCCAATATCTGATGTCCTATTTGACTCACTTCAATCTCTGACGTCATTTTTAACTCGCTCTAATCTCTGATGTCTCATATTCAACTCGCTCTAATCTCTGTTTTGTGCTGCAGCATTCCTGAAGGCAAGCAAGGAAGAGAGCACCCCCACCCCGGGCGGCCCTACGTTCTGAACGGCTTCCCCCGCGTGGCTTACCTGCCTGACAACGAACAGGGTCGCCAGGTGAGGGCCGTAATTATCGTACAAACCTTAGCGTCATGCTGCGAGCTCTCCATTATTCGGAGAGCTTGCAAAACCATTCAACTTTTTCAATGGGTACATCTTCCGTCATCATTGTTCTTTGTATCTGCAGGCCTGTTAACTTAAGTTATTATCAGTATTGGACAAACCTTCAATACGTTCAGGCGCCTTCACTTTTTATGAATACCTAAAGAATCTTTATGATACGTTCACAACTCGTTAACGAGTACGTATCCATCGAGTGTTTGTCTAAGGACATACCTATTAACTAACCGCCGTTAGTGTTACTCACATGTACAGGCCTGATACCTAGAGTTGCCGACAGTAGGCCGCGATCTCAGCTTATGCGTGATAACTAGCTATATTATCACACCTTTTGGTGTCACCCAAAATAAAGCATTAATAGGTAACATGCATAGAATTTTGTGAGTTATTCTGTTATTATTTGCATTCTTACCCACGTCTACTCACGCACACTGATCGCCCTCATAAAATCATAAAAATTCACTTTCATATCTTCACAGTGAATGTACTAAAAAAATCTCATCATTGTACTGCTGCTTCACGAATTACACAAACTTTTTTGCGCGTTCCTCAAAAATTGTTGGCCGAAGATGGTTTAATTTATTTTTTTATTTCTCAAAGGTGTTGTCTCTCCTGAAGATCGCATTTGACAGACGCCTCATCTTCACCGTTGGACACTCGGCGTCCCTCAACCAGCCTGACTGCGTCATTTGGGGCGAGATTTCCCACAAAACTTTCAAGAAGGATAATAAATTTGGGTACCCCGACCCCAAGTACCTGGACAACGTGATGCTCGAGCTCGCTGCTCATGGCATTACCCTTAAGTATTAGTGTGCGTATCAACGATTTTTGCGTCCTTTCGCCTTATTAGCACATCATTAGCGCTTAGTCGTTTAATTTGGTGTTTGTTGTAATTGATATCGATTGTTTTGGATATATTGAGTGTTTCACGTTCGTGAAGCTTTCTGTGTGATGCGCTTCTAGTGCTATGACTACGTAAATGGATTTAAGAACGGTACTTAATTTTTTAGTAGAGTTCATCAGAAACGTCATTGCGCACCCTGGCTATCTTCATATTAATTGTGTGGTGTATTAAGAAGTCCTTTGTACATAATCATATTCTACGATTGAGCACATTATTTTATAATATAGAAATGTATCCATATAGATATAACCCATTTGATTATATCTTTAAATGCGTTGAATATTTTTCTACTGAGAGAGTTTTTACAATAAATAATTGGTCAAAAATGACTTGTGTGCTCCCATGGAAATCAAGCCTACCTCGTATAACTTTCTTTCGACTTCTTTTTCATCGTGATATATGAAATGACTACACTTCAGAAAAGCTTGCTGGCAGAAATGAAATTTCACCAGGCAACAGTTGAATGACTGGTCGTGTTGATTGATGCCAGGTCGCAGCGCTTCGGGTCATTTTTAATTTTCAGACATTTGTGATGAACTTTCTTCCCTTCCTATTGTAATTGTTTGATAACATATCCAGTGTTACATTATGAATTAGTAAAAGCTATTCTGAGTTTAGTAAAACCTATTCTAATTCAAAACGGTTGAGTATTTGCTTCTTTGAGCCTTGTTTATATACTAAGATCTCGGAATTCGTTTTGTGTTTGATGCCGGTGGGACAATTCTTCACTAAACATTACTAATCTTTTTTGTTTCAGCCATTGATAACATTATTTTGCGCACAAATATTCTATATTCGTGCACGTACATTGTAAAAAAAAATATTGTCGAGTTAAGTGCACAATTTTTATCTTAGTTCATCTATCCAGTAGCTGCAAAACAGTGAGGCCCCTGGCATTATAGCAGCGATTGTTTTGACGGTAATTATGTCGATTCAGGTATCGAAATGTTCTTCATATTTAACTGCGGTTTAAAGATAAAACAATGAGACGCTTCTCAAATTTGAATTATGTTATACATTCATATAAAAATATTGTCTAGTGTGACTGGCCTTCATTATTGATCATACACTAGCGTGCTCCTGCAACGGTGCTGTTGATGGCGTCTACAAAAGAATGTTGGCTTTGTGTCTAAGCCGTATCGTTCTTTATCTGCAGATGTTGAGGTTTCTACATCAGGTAAACGTTGTAACGAGTTGAAGAGAATGCAGTAATTTATGAAATAAAAGATTCAGCAATTAGTTAATTCAAATAAATTGACAGTGCTTGAATTATAATGAAAGATTTGTTGATGTTTACGATTCGTATTATTAAAATCCGAGACGTTGACCTAAGATTTAGGCGGCTGAATGAATTAAATCTGAAAATTTAAAAGCAAAGTCCACAAAAATTCATATCTTTATAGAAAACGTTTCGGAGTCCAGCTCCATCGTCAGTTCGTAGAATCTAGAATTTACATAGAAAGTCACAAATTAGTATAATTGAAAGCCTGTGCGCACTCACGCCGAGCAGTGTGATGTCCCCGTTTCTGACAGTGACTTTAGGATGTTAGTTTCCACCTCCGGTACTTCAGATTTGCGTATTTCAGAATCGTTGCATATTTTTAAACTTAGGCCCAGTTTAAATTCAGCTATTAGCTCCTATCCCAGTGGTTCCCAAAGTGGGCGATATCGCCCCCCTAGGGGCGGTGGAAAGATTTTGGGGGGCGGTAAACAAGAAAAGGGCGATAAGGGGGCGGCAGTCCGAAGTTCGAACGTTTGTTTGATGATTTGTACACTGCACGTGCAGCTCATGACTACAGCGATGGTTTTTTTTACCCAGATCTCTTTTTAGCGCATTTCCTCATTTATGGAAAAAATGCACTATTGTGCTCTCAATGATCAAGGAATATCTCTCAAACTAATGAACTTAACTTGATGAAACTTGGTAAACGTATTCATTAGGACCTAACGGTAATGTAAAGCTCGTGAAAATTTTTTAAATTTTGCCTTCAATTGTTTTTGCCATAGTTATATGGAAATACGGACCGAAATTCACAGTGATCAAGGAATTTCTTCCAAACTACTGAACAGATTCGAACGAAATTTTGAATTTACAGTCCTAACTACCGAACGGTGATGTTTAGCTCGTGAAATTTTTTTCGACTGTGCCTTCGTTCGTGAGTGTAATTCGTGATTTAAGCAGCAAATACGTGCTTCAATTCGCAGTAATCAAGAAATTTCTTCCAAACTACTGAACAGATTTGAACGAAATTTAGTATTTTAATACATAACATCAGCAACGGTGATGCTTAGTTCGTTACAATTTTTAGCGCATTTTCTCATTTATGGAAAAAATGCACTATTGTGCTCGCCATGTCCGTCTGTCTGTCCGTCCGTGACCTCAAGTTTTCGTCGACGAGGAAACGCGCTCTCTGTCACTCACTGCAGTGAGTACTGAGTTACATTTTTTCGCTTTGCCTTCGTTTGCGAGTTATACGGCTATACGTAAACGGCTCTTGGTTAAACCAGCCGGTAGAAAAGCCGGTCGTTCGTCCTATATCTGAATAACTTGCGAACGAAAGCGAATAAGGAAGTGTGAAATCAAGAATGACGGTGAAATGAAAAAAACTCGCAAACGAAGGTAAATCAAGAAATTTTTTAGAATCTAAAAACACCATTTGGTAGTTAGAAATATTTATTCAAAATTTCGTTCAAATATGTTCGGTAGTTTGAAAGAAATTCTTTGATCACTGCGAATTTCGGCCTGTATCGCAATATAACTCACGAATGAAGGTGATATTTTCTCATGCTAAACATCACCGTTAAGTTCTGATGAATACATGTTCCAAGTTTTATTGAGCTGCGTTCATTAGTTTGGGAGATATTACTTGATAATTGAATTTGGAGATTTGTCGTGAGACCGGCCACGAGTCCGAGCCGTAAGTTTGCCCGAGACGTGCTAGGTTTATGGTACTGAAACAGTCACAACAGCTGAAAAACATATTGGTTCACTAAAATGGGTTTTATTTGTGAAATACACATTTGTGTTTAACCTTATCTTTTAAAATTGCAGCGTACTAAATTTTATAGAAAGAGGCGCATGATTTTATTTGTGTCTGTAGGGGGCGCTAGAAATTCACTACGGAGCCAAAGGGGGCGCCAGCCTGAAAAAGTTTGGGAACCACTGTCCTATCCCCTTGCAATTGTGAATAGATAGGTCTTTGTGCCCTATTAATTGTAAATTTAGGTTTTTAATTGTGTTCTGTGCTTTCAATTGTATTAACTTGTGACTTTCTATGTAAATTCTAGATTCTACGAACTGACGATGGATCTGGACTCCGAAACGTTTTCTATACAGATATGAATTTTTGTGGACTTTTCTTTGCTTTTAAATTTTTAGTTAACTTGCGAGTTAAGCAAATAAGTGACATGAATTATATCTGCGAATGCATGGATAGGCTTTTTGAACTTTATTCCAGCAACTTCAGGCATCGTTTTCACTTAACATCGGGACCAGGATTGTTCTAATTTATATTGCCATCTTGTGGATATGCATAGGAGAGAATTCATAGATAATTGATTGAAATACTAGTACTTTCATCATTAAATTAGTCTCAATTAGGGTTGACATAATGTAACGCTGCCGTAGAGCATTATTTTAGGATGAAGTGCACTGAAATGTCACAAACTCATCCTACATAAATAGTCCATGCAGCCAGTAAATCTTCAACGAAATATATGGCAGGGTAATGTAAGCAACATGACGGAATCCTTCTAAAAAATCATATAAAATCGGGATTTGGCCCCTCATAGCTAATTTTTAGCATAAGACAAGACATACACGCACCGTCTAGTATAATGATATACCATCTACGTCAGTTAAACGTAGGCCTCTAAGACGAGAATCAAGATCATGGCATCCAAAAATGTGAATTAATCCTCGGCGTAAAAGTAACCAGTAGGTGTGGAGCTCTGACAGTTGTATCCGCAGCTCAATTAACAATCGGAACCATGATTATTGATAATACTAAACAAATTTACTCACTGATTTTTCATTGCCATCAACTATTTGTCAACAACATTTGACTAAAATGAAACAATACATGAAAACCGCATTTTGGATAAATTAACTTACTGCAAACAATTGAACAACTTATTAGGTTGGCATTACACATTCAAATTCCTTACGCAGGAGAAAATTGAAGATAATCCAAACCATTAAATTCAATACGTAATCAAGTTAATACTAAATCCACATGAGATCAGAAAACAAAACTTCTGTCAATGACACTATATTTGAGTGGAACTTTGTACTTTAATGCAAAAAAATTGAATTTAAATTGAAATTGCTTTCATCACTCATCAATACAATACTGACCAATTTTTTTATCACTTATATTGGTCAGTATTATATTTTAATGAAAAGCGACATCGAGAAGGTGATTTAGGCGTCAATGTAGACAACTTTTTCAATACACTAGAAGATTAAGTCTATTAGGAACGTAGCTGAGAATATCACACAGTAGGTACATGATCACATAAAATGAATTTTAATTTCTAAGGCACTTGTGAATACTGTTACATTAAATGGCAGCAACTTCTGGTTGGCTCCTTAGCGCTTGTCTTCCACAAAGGAGTAAAATAAATACCTAGTTGAACCAGTGGACTCAAAACATTTTTCCTTGTTATCCAATTTAACACGAGTCAAAAATCATGCTTTCCATTCAACAAAATTGTATCCTAGATAATTCGTGTTAAATCCAAACACCCATCCAATACTTCGGAACATTCAAGAGTAGCCGCTGGACCAATTTCATATCTTGTTTTTTAACCTCCTGCGTTAGTAGAAAAAATAAATTAGTATAAAAATGAAAAAAAATCTGCATACCATCTAGCACTATAATCTATAAATAGGGTATAAACATCAGTAGTAAAATCGAATTCAACCTAACGTGGTTGTTAGTTTAATGAGAACCATAAAGTTGCGGTTGCGACCACTTCATGTGAAATTTTGAAGCCAACATGCATCTGTGTTAAATTTATCGAAGTGAGCTGAAGTTATTTCTCAACTTATAGAAAACCACGTAAATAGATGGAAAATTAGCCATCACACTCGAGATTTATGCTATGGACTACAATATTTAATCAGAATGTACTTGAAGTCATCAGTAAAAGCAAGAATGAATTGAGGTCCAACCTTTGAACTGAATAGTGCCAGGTGGCCATATTATTAAGCGCCACTTGACTGATTATATATTTCTACTTGAGGACAGGATTCGTCAACCAAGTATGTGAGGGATAAGTAAGACGCTTCTTTCTATAGAACTTATCTTGATACGGGGTGGACACATGAGAGTTATATTAGAGGCATAAAGCTAAGACATCGATCATTGGGTCGGAGTAACTCTAATGCGAGTTACATTGCTGCGTATTTGTCAGTTACTGGAGCCTTACAAAGGTTCCCAGCCCTTTCGTAGAATAATGACTTCCGCTCACAGGGTTCTTGCCCTCATGACACATATGCTATAAAAGCTGTCGACTCAGCAAGCTCTCAGTGACACAGTGGACTCAAAGCTTACTAGGTCTGCTGGTAAACACACAAGGATTTGTATCCACAAACTACTCTCGGACACTAATGTCTGATATCAACGTACCTTCTTATTAATATCCGTTGACCGAAATTTTTTACGGATCATATCGAGTGCGGAAGCCTGAACTGCAAGGTGATATTCTTCCGAGTGGCAAGCGCTGTAAGGTCCTGCTTGTCATCAGAAGTGAGTACCTCAGACTGCAGATACACCCAGCCCTTGGCAGCGATGAGCGCCTCGCACTCCAGCAGCCGCATGACTCCTGTGTGTGTCAGGCGACAGGCAGGCAGCACTAACATGTGACGCCTGCTCATACCAAAGAACGGTCACTCATTGGCCGCCTGTATCGCTCCACTGTTCCAGGATACCCGCGAAGTTTTATTAATACATGACTGATACTTATCATTGTTTTCTATTTTAACTGTTATTTTAACTGGTTCTTACCCTGTTAGGAAATGGACTCCGTTTTAAAAATTTATCCCCAAGAGTGTCAGCTTTAATGAAGTTTTTGATTAATCTGTGTATACTTTACCTGCCAAATAATATATAATATAAAAAATAATATGCAGTAAAATCTAAATATATTAAAGTAAGATAGTATTTAGCGGTTATCAAATTTCAGTTGGAAATTGTGCAAATTAATCCTTGATTTGTTCGAGTTTGAAAGCACAATTAAGACATGTAATCCAGAATAGTTGTAGAAAATTGTGAAGACTGTTCACATGACTTCAACAACATACACATGTTTAATTAATATTTAAATTTGATGCATTGCCGTGATGCAACCTCACCAGTCAGTAGGGCACAAGCTACGCGCCACAGCAGCCAGCCACGCTAGTTCTCCATCCTCGAGCTCAATGCAGTGCAGCGCTGTGTGTCGTGGGGAGGAACTCATCTGCACTGTGATGTTCTCAGGCCTCAGACTCCTGCTCAGCGCGACATCTGTCCATAGAAAAAATTATTCAACTAAATCTTTTTCACAACATATCACTGTAAAAATAACTCCTACCGCAATAACAACAAATTTTCCTCACTTTTGAATTTTCAGACTTCAGCTCAAAGTGACATCTGCTAACTGAAATTTAATTTACCTGGTAATCATCTCGTTTTCGCGCCAATCCCTTTATGACAGCCAATGCCGGTTATGACGACAAATTTACAGCATTTTTTAATGTTGAACAATTAATTCTCTTGCCAATGATGCTTGCTAATTCTAAAGGGTTCCCAGGGAAAATACATTATTTTATAAATTAAAATACTGTATCCCAAAATTTGAAAATTACTGTGGTAAGCTGAAAATAGAACAATTAAGAAAATTTGGATAAATTAGGTACAAGCAAGCTATGAGGATCTTATATATAAACATTGGAAATTTTGGTTTTCTCTTTGACTGCAATACTCGCTGCCACTCACGCCTGACCCACGGCACACTGCCACTCACGCCTGGCACGCGGCACACTGCCACTCACGCCTGACACGCGGCACGCTGCCACTCACGCCTGACACGCGGCACACTGCCACTCACGCCTGACACGCGGCACACTGCCACTCACGCCTGACACGCGGCACACTGCCACTCACGCCTGACACGCAGCACACTGCCACTCACGCCTGACACATCGCAGAGCCATTTCAGAGTTGAGGATGGGAACATCAGCGGCTGTCTCCAGCCGCACACCGAGCCACTCCAACGCCGTCATCTTCAGCAACGTGGAGGGGTCAAAGTTGCCAAAGACATGCACCAGTTCATGTCTGGTGGTGAGAAAAACAGAGACTTTCTCATCAACAAATCAGAGGAACAAGGTTACTTTTGCTGACTACATGATGATGAGAACGTTACAATATGTCATATAGTGACTTTATTGGGTTTAAAATCTTTAATAATTATCAACAGATTCATATTACAAGAAATAATGGCAGCATTGCATTCGAAGGTAATATGTTTTGCAAAATGTAATTGAACAGGAAACAAAATAATATACAGTACCTATCCTCTCCAAATTGACAATCAGTATAAAAGTTACCAGACAATTTTGATTGAACAAGCTTCTGAATATGGCTCAATAGATAAAGATTGGTGTCATAAAATTGGAAATATTTACAACTAATCACTTTTTCCAGCTATTGAAATCTTATGCAAAATTTTTGCACAGAGAAGACTTTTGGAACAAAAATATTATCTCCAACAAAAGCTTCTGAAATATTCTATATTCAATTGAAAGCACATTCTTGGTAAAAATAGCCTACCCATTAATGCAAATAAGACACCAAGTCAAATTACCCTTTGAAGTTGCTGAGGAAAGGTTTCAGTCTATCACGGTCATTCGATGGCAGGTCACGAGACCAGAAGGAGTCCCAGAGATGTAGCTTGATATCGACTCCACATTCAGCAAGTTTGCTTAGCAGAGGTGAAAAATTTAGCACTGGGTGATTTGCATTTGATGTCACAATAACAGAACCCAGAGGTCTGTGGTCTGAATTAATGAGGGTGGCAAGTGCTTTTTGCACTTCATATTCTCCCTCTAACTTCCATTGGGATCTGTGTGGCAGAAACTCTTGGGGCAGAATTGTGGTCATGCTGAGACTCAGAGAATTGTGCACCTCCTGAGAACACAATTGATGGCAGAGTTATTCATAAGCAGTGTAAGAAAATAATTCACTTAGAACAAAAAATAATAGAGAAAGTTAGCCTATTAAATACATTTTTTTTGCCTAAATTTTAGAATAAAAATTTTAGCTCAATATAGGTATTCATACTTATGGAGTTTTAAAAGTGCTACCTACATATATTTAAGTGAAATCTTATTAAATACATTCTTAATGCTTTAATTTCTCTAAGATTGTCAAACTTCAGAAAGGCTTCACTATTAAAATACTGCAAATCATTTACCAAATAGCAAAATAGAAAAATCAAAAGTGAGCAATGAACACAGTATAGCAATTACAATTTCATAAAAATACAGGCAATTCAATCATTCAATTGCTTAAGGATCATTATAATTTATTCCATTAATGATCTAAAATAAGTTTTCAAGATACCTTCAATGATGAATTATAGTGATAAATTTGAGCAGCAATCTGCTGACACTTCTGTTCTAGGGCCTGACATTGTGCCTCTAAAGCAGGCTTCAGTAAACAGATATTCCAGAGTTTCTTATTCGTTGTATTAAAGTCTTCTTTATTATTCAAGGCTTTTGTAACCTCTTCCAAGCCCTGTTGCTGCTTCAGAAGTCTGTTCTTGCAGGCTATAAGTTGTCCATGAATTTCATTGCTCATGTTCATAATTTTCAGGCCAGAGTCACAAACCATGATAGATTGCTTTAAATTTTCTAATGTTTCTTTACTACCTTCCATAAAGTCATACTTCTTTCTCTCTGAATGCAATTCTTCGGCAAGAAGATCTTCAGGCAAAATGGTGGCATGGCCACGATGTTTCAGAACAAAGCATTTCTTGCATGTAACTTCAGAGCACTTGCAGCACCAATACTCATTTTGAAGCTTGTGGGTGCTGCACAGTTTATAGTCATTGCTACTTAGCTCCATGGTTTGAGGAACGTCATTTTGTTTCCCTTTTTCTGAACTTGGAATGAGCATGTAAATAATTGGAAAATTCTCTAATTCATCGCTCCAGGGCTTCTTGCATGTTTGGCAGAAAGTTTTGCTGGATGACTTCAAGTTTTTTAGGCAGCAACTACAGTAAACATGGCCACATGGCTGTGAGATTGGCTTATGCTCAAGTTCATTAAAGTACTCATTGCAAAGATCACACAGAGGCGAAATCTTCTCCATTACACCAATCTGCAAACAATGTGGAATTTAGGTAAGGAAAAGTTTGTTCAAATTAACAAATTCAGTGCAGAAAACTCAATCAACATTAATAGACTTCTGTAAACCATACATTTGATTGGACCAAGTGGACCAAACCAAGTGGTTCTGAAAGCCATTTTGAGCCACCAACATAGAGTAGAAATAGAATAGAAATGTTGGCACTGAAAAAATAGGCCCATGGCCTGTTGCCGTGCTAAATTACAATTTTCTCAACAAGTATATATGACAACAGAGATAGGGTACTTTGAAATTTTTTAATGTTAACAACATTGAAATCCATGTGGAAACATGAATTTTTAGCACATTTTCTCATTAATGGAAAAAAGGCGCTATTATGCTCGTCATGTCTGTCCATCCGTGTCTGTCTGTCCCTCTGTCTGTCAGTGACTTCACATTTTTCTTGACAAGAAAATGCACTCTCTGTCACTCACAGCAGTGAGTACAGCAATCCCTTGATTAACGCGGTTAATAAATCCCCGAGTTATACTGTGTTAAGCAAAACTGTGCTAATCAAACTTAAGAATATATGGGAATAATTATAATGAATCCTCAAAAATAGCAAAGTTTGATAAAATGTTATGTAGTTTGATAAAAGTGAGCAGTAGATATGGCAGCGATCTTGACAAGTTGAAGGCTAACGAGTAACTAGAGCACCGGCATGGCGCACTTACTGGCGAACGTTGCCGAACTCGACCATTCGAGTTATGAACGAGACAAGGCACGGTTAAACCGACTCTGTAGTCAGCATGAGCGCCTACGGAACAGGACCTTATTTAAAGAATTATTGGCTGAAATTCATAAAGTAACAACATTTGGCAAATTTTTCCAAAAGTTGTAACAAAAGTAACAACATAAGATCTAATAAGCAAAAAGTAACACTTTTGTTGTGAACGTAACACCTCTGGCTAGAGGCGGGAAAATGATGCGTTGTGAAAAAAAGTTGCGCTAATCAAAACTGGCACCGCGTAGATTAAGGGTAGGTCACAAATTTTTTTTCCGTGTTTATCAAAACCGCGGTATTCAAAACCGTGCTAATCAAGGGATTGCTGTACTAGGTTATATTTTTCATATTTTTCACAAAAAATGTAAAAAAATATTTTCTTTGGTTGTAATGAAAATTATACATCTGAATAGAGAAAAATATAGAAAAATAGCATGAATAAATTTGAGTACGGTAGCAGACAGTAGAAGTGAAAAAGCCACAAATTTTTTCTTTTATTCAATTACATCATAAAAATGGACCAATTTTCAGCACTTTTGGAAAAAGTATCATTTTCAGGTTTTCTATAAGCTAATTTCAAAGGTTTTAGCACCATTAGAAAGCTTGCTCTTGTTGTAGGCTATCTATTCTAACTAAAATGAAATATTTTAGTTGAGACTTTGGCTGCAGTTGGGTTGTTGCTGTTGTGGTGGTTCCCCTGTCCCACTTTTACAAGAGACCCCCATGCGCAAGTCTCCACAGATGTAGGGTCAAGGTTATGTGGTGGTGTTGTCTGAGGTCCTGCCAAAGTGGACATTCCAGGAGAATGCGAGTGATTGTGTGGGGAGCTCTCTGGCAGGATGGACAGGTGTCTGAGGCTGCTTGGCCAATTCTGTTTGCGTACCCTATGTTTGTAGTAAAGGGTGGTGGCCACAGCGCAGCCTGGCTAGGTGTACTCTCTCCAGTCTAGAGAGCTGGGTTTCTGTGCTGCTTATGTCAGGTGGTGTGTGGTGGGAGTCCATGGACTTTGTTGTTGCTGGCCAGCTACAGCGTTCTAAGTGTCATAATTGTGTGCAAGTGTTTTTTTGTGCTGGTGTTGCCTTGGGGTGGGGGTACTGTGTTTAGTACCATCAAACGGGGTAAAAAGGGATGGGCGGGGTAAATAGGGACGCGCGTCCCACATTTTGTAGAAATGTTGTAGCAGCTAAACTAATCAAAATATTGCAAAAATAAAAATAGTGGCGCAAACTTCAAATTTTTACTATCTATTATGTATAAAGCTAGTCAAGAAATCAAACATTTACTATCTCTAAAAAAAATTGCTGAAAAAAAGTGTGAAACATGCAAAAAGTACCTCTGCTAAGGTCTGGAGCAAAAAAAAAAAAATATTAGCCATATTGAAAAATTTTACTTACATCAAAGTTGCACCTAGGTGTCGGCTTGAAAACAATTGACAGAATTTGCCTCTCATTAAAAAAAAAAATGGCAGCCATTTCTGCGTAATGGGGTAAAAAGGGACACCCCCTGTCATAGTGGCAAAGCAGAAAGTTTTTTAGACTCTACCTCAAGTTCATTTTCGAGTCTTGTAAGTAGACCAATAAAGTATCATACCGTCAACCAGGGCTACTCGGGACGATTTCAAATGTTTTTCATTCATAACTTCTTACCATGAAACATTTCATAAACAAGTTTAGGCTCATTTCAAAGCTCTTTGCAAGGACTATCACATGGCTTCTCCAAAAAAATTCCATATGCTATTCGTAAGGTGCCAGAAGCAAAAAAAGAGTGTCCCTAGTAGCCCCATCAAACGGGGCTACTCGGGACACTGGGAATAAAACTTCATTTTAAAACATTTGAAGCATGCAGGGTGTACTCATCCATTACTAACAGTACTCTGAAGTCCTCCTCTTTCATTGTAGATGATTTAGAGCTAGAATAAATGACCATTTTCTGTGATTTTTACTTGTTTTTCCTTTATTGATATGATATTGCCATATATATACATTAATTACACCATATTACCAAATACATATACATTAATTAACTAGTATTATTGATGCGATATTACTGTATTATTGATGCAATATTACTGTAGGTATCCATGAACATGCCATTGAGCATTTACAACAACCTTGTCCACTGCAAGCTTCATATCAGCAGCCTTATAGCATTTTTTCTTTATCTGTAAGCTTACAGGACAGTTTGTAATTTCACACCATTTTAATTGGGTTAAGTGAATTTACTATTAAAAAAAAGATCATGAAAAACATACCTGAAACAGAAAGGAAAGTTTTAGTGACAACCATCATATGTTTTGGAGAAATGAATCATAGTTTAGGTAAATTACTTTTCATTCTATGATGCCTGGTGCACAATTCTATATATGACATTCTGTGCACAATTTTGTGATGACCGATGATGCACTAATTTTTTGATAAGTGAATTTTTTTTTGCTGAGCAAGGTAATGTAATCAATATTCTTTGTTTTTAATCAATATTTTTCTTAACTAGAGCCTTTGCTAACTGAGGTTCTACTGTAAATGTGTTTTTGGGGGTGTCCCGAATAGCCCCGGGGGGTGTCCCGACTCCCGAGTAGCCCCGCCATGCGGAAATGGCCGCCATGCTGAAATGGCCGCCATTATTTTTTTTTTTTGATTGAGGTATGTAAATTCTGAAAAAAGTTTTCATGCTGACACTTGTCTGCCACTTTTTTTATGCAAAATTTTGTGATACTGCAAATATTTTTTTTACTACAGACTTTAGCAGAAGTAACTTTTCAAAATATTGTTTTTCACCATTTTTTTCAGGAATTTTTCAAAGCTAGTAAATGTAGTATTTTTGACTACATAAGAAATTGATTTAAATCTTGATAAAATTATGAAATTAAAAATGAACTGATTCTAAAAAATCTCTGGTTTGCCACTATGCCCCCCTTGTCCCTTTCACCAAATCAATTTTGTCTGCTTGAAAAATATTTTAATGGAACTTAGCGTGGCATTAGACAAAACGTGTACTTTTTGGTAGTACTTATATATCCCAATGAAAACTTCGTAAAAATGCACAGAATTCACACTTTAAACTTGAATCGTAACAAGAAGACCCAGTGCTGGAGGGATCTTCATAATTTTTTTAAAGGCCTCCCACACTAACCATTCAAACAAAAAGAATTAATTTTATTAATTAAAAACAGGGAATGGTTTCATGTCAATGATCAGGGCCCCGACCTTAACGCCTCTGAATGCTCTGATGGTGGCCTACACCAACTCCGAGGGTCACTGAGCTGTGACGCGAGCGAGGAGCGGGCCCACGTCCAACTTTTCTCTGACTGCTGTTAGGATGCTAGTTGCATTGCCTCTTGGCTCTCTGCAAAGCCAAACCCAGCCTTTGCTCCAACCACAGAGTCTCTCTACGTTCGCCGGATAATTCCGTAATGCGGCGGCCAATCTGTGATATTATTAAAGGACCAGTCGTTTCACCATATAGAATAGAATAGAATATAAGTGTCGGCGTTGAAGAAATAGGCCCATGGCCTGTTGCCAATTCTTGAACTTTTCGTGACTTGATTCACAAGGGATCCGGCCTTTGGAACCCGATCTTTCTATAGCTGACGATTGATTGAGATAGCTGCTGGACTTATTGCCTGATACGTAATTTGCTAGGCATTTTAAGACTGAGCATATGCTCCGGCATAGCTCTGTCTAGTCTGTTTTTGAAGATGTTCATACTCGGAGCTTCAACGATGCTATCAGGGAGGCTGTTCCACATGTCGGTGACTCGAAGCGAGAAGAAATGTTGTCGCATGGATGTGTTCCAACGCTGTTTTTTTAGTTTATAGCCATGGCCCCTGGTGTTGGTTCTTTTTTCAAATTTTAGTAATCCTTCTGGGACCTTGTATAAGCCATGAGTATACTTGTATACTTCAATGAGGTCCCCACGCAGACATCGATAATGGAGGCTTGGAAGCTTCATAATCTTTAATCTTTCCTCATAGGACTTGCCTTTCAAGCCCGGAACTATCCTTGTTGCGCGTCTTTGAACACTCTCTACTAAATTTTTGTCCTTTTCAAATTTCGGTGACCACACGAAGTTTCCAAACTCCAGGTTCAGGGCCGGCTAGGACAGTTGCTAACTCTTTGAGTAATCTGGGGTGGAAGCCGTCTGGTCCACATGACTTGTTTGGATTTACAGCAATAGGGCGCTTGAGAACCTCTTCTTCTTGTATTTCAAAGCTTGTTAATTTAGAGCCGACTGGGCGCTCCTCAATAGCTGGAAATCTGGAATAGGTACTGTTCAAGTCCTCTTCAGTGAATACGCTACTGAAAAAATGATCAAGTATGTTGGCTTTGCCCTCATCAGAGGATATCTTTCGCTGATCTACTTTCAAATCAGAAATACCGTCCTTCATCTTGCAGTTTGAGCTAGCATATAAAAAGGAGGCTTTCAGGTTCTTTTTTGCATTTTTAGCAATACTTTTTTTGAGGGTTTTTACAGCGGTGCAACAGCTTTCTTGAGCTTGATTTCGAGCTCTTGCATAT